CACTAATGCATGACCAGCCTTATTTTCAACTGCATGAATGAGACCCCTCTAACCCAATGTATGAATGAAAAGTATGAGTGTTCTTTTCGGGATCGTAGTGGGAGGTTCAGTCAATGACTCATTAGTCCATTGACTTCTTTCTGCCTTCTTCTTACACCATACTAACATCCCTGGCCCCTCTTTTGTGCTTATATTTGGTTTATTTCCACCTCTTAGCAGGGAGTGCCGCGACATTTATCTCCTCAGTTTTTCTGGTGTTAACGTAAGGGCTCTGTTGTCGCTGGGTTCGAGGGCGGGGGCACTCCTGGTCACCTGTTCATGGGTGGCGGTGTATTTCTTTAAAAAAAAAATAAAAAAAATGTTGCTTTGATGGACCAACGAACGCTCGTTTCGACACCAAATTTACCCTTAAACGATTTCAAACACTCGACAGGATGAGTTTACGACGCACCAAACTGTGCCGCTGTTGGGTCGGGGACCTGCCAAATTACGTCCTATTTTTTCAGGTAAGCGTACTCGGGAAGTAACAGCTTGATCAATGTCTTGACCAAGACTCTTTTACTACTACTACTCGGTCTCGAGTCTCGACCTCACCCTCTGAGACTGCCTTTGCCTCCTGAACACTAATTTACGCGTTTACTGGCGCTTATAAGCTGCGTTGTTTAGCTCCCAGGCTACTGTTTGGAGTTGGTGGTGTTATTCCGAGAAAGGGCCTTGGGCTCGTGGGCTGTTCATCATCCGCCCTGTAAACGCACTTTTCCGCGACTGGGCCGTTCCGGGCGCTGCCAAATCCGCCCCGGCGTGCTGCCATATGACGAGCTGTCGTTAGGTGACTGCGGCCTGGCAGCGTTCGGTGTTTGCCTTGGAATGACTCGGCCCGGCCGGCGGCTAATTGTTTGTTCGGCACTGTTGATTCTGCGATTGAGAGTAATGCGGCCTCTGTGGTGACGTGTGACGGCCGGCCACCAGCCGCCTCCTAGCTGGAGGATTTATGGCCGAAATTTAGAACGAAAGATCGAGTCCCTTTCTGCTCGACTTTGTAGAGTATAGATAGGAACTTTGAGCTTGAACACTTTGGTTTATCATCCTTAGATGCGTAGAATGAACTGTTATTGGTATTACTTTTCAGAGTCTCAAGAGTAAATTTACTCTTGAGACTCTGAAAAGTAATACCATTAACTTATCAACCTGAGTAAAAGATAAAATGACTTTAAAGTCCCACTTAAATGAACTGTTATATTTTTCATTCAAGGGGAATTTAAGTGTTCGCTGTTTCGCTTCTCACGCCGTTTCGGTAGGTGCATTTTCGTTTTCAGAGCACGACCTCAATGACTCTGGCACCCTGTTCCAGCGCGTGTCAACACCCCCCCCCCCCAACCCCACGCTTCACTTCCGGGCAGCCATCGACTCTGGGCGGCTGAACTGTGCATTATTGATAGGACGGCACCGGATTAGGGGCCTGGATTTGTGCCACCGAGCAGCGCTGAAGCGCGGCTCATATCGAAGACTCTGCTCCACAACGGAAAGGCTCCTCCTTCAGAAAAGAATGCGTGATGAGTGAGCCCCTGCTTAGGCAGAAGCCGCAGATCTTAGGACTGAAAGACGGTAACAAGACACTCGTCTCCATAGACTGATCTGGCTGGCTCGGTCGGATCACAACTCATTGTCTTTTGTTCGATTCTGACAAAAGGTTGAAGTGTTATTTGGATTCTCAAATGCATTGTACGATTCTCTTCGAGGACCTATAACTATTCGTTTGACCTTCTAGTCCCTCCGTTTCGTCGTTTCGCGTCCCTCTGCACTCCGCAGTGAATATGCAGTGAGCATGAGGTACGGAATGATTTCAGTTCGAATTCGGTACAATCCGCTTGAAGTTGAAAACAAACGATCAACGGTAGGTATGTCGGAGACATTAGAAAAATAATGTCTGCTGCTGTAGGTAAACAATGACAAAAAAATGCAGACGAGTGACATACGGTAATCACGATTAAAATTGTCCATTTGAATTATTCCAGCTTTTAGCATTACGTTTTGTGGACATAAATTTAATACTTTTTTGCCCTAAATTCCCGAGATAATTCCTATATCTTTCAGGTACTTGGTCTAAACTTGGAAAACGATCGGTAGGGTAAGGAGAAGTAACTTTTGTGAGAAAAAAAAATACAAATCTCCGTAAAGAGCCAACATTTTGCGTTGGTGCCTATCGTATCCGAGGTTCCTCTGCACAGCCTTGTTGCAAGAGACAAGAATTTACTTCTCCTCACTGCAAGCCACGTCATTGGACAAGAAGCTCCTGCTGCGGCAGCCACCCTCAAACACGCTGGCGTGGCCCGTAAACCGCGACGAAGTCTGTGAGCCGCATTTGGCTATTTTTAGCGCCAGCTAAATATGTAACTCTTCGGGTTACGGCTGTTTGGTTGAGCTGCTAAGCGTGACGTGACTTCGGACCTTCCGTTCACGGGGTACCACCCGGTGCCCATCTTGGCGCAGATGTGACGATGGCGCAGCGGAGCCAACTGCGCCACTTTACTCGACCAGAGCCATATAAAGGTAATCGGATGTTCTATCCTGCCCGATATTAAGCCGTCCGTTGGTCCAACCAAAGCTCCCGATCGCACCCCGGACATTGGCCGCTGCGACGCGCTTATTTCTGCGAGCGTGTTAGGTGGCAGTTTGGTGTCAGCTGGTAGGTATGCCAGTGCTGGCTGGTACAGTTTCGTGTCAGCTGGGAATTTTTGTGTTGAAGTGGGTGTCGGGCGGTTTGTTGGTTGAAGTCCGTCGCATCTGTAGGGTGGAGTCTATTGTCTTCCCGATATTTCTCGCGATTATGGAAGCTATCCAAGCGGTTTATTTGCTGGTTCATGGCTCTGTGCTATATAACTATAGGCACATATGCCTGTTCTTGAAAATACCTCATGGACGTAGGCAACGATTTTGACTAGCTACTTTGCAACTCATGAGGCATAAAATTAAACAAGTTCTCTTTAACTGGACACTTGCGTGCTTGTCACGTGTGGTCAAATGTCGACAACTATTCAGCACTCGCGGCAATCGACCATTCCTTACTTCAAGTCCACCGAAGTTTTCCATACCCCGTCGTGCTCGTCGCCCGGCCGTGCTCTAACACGACGGGTACGGTGCGGCGGCCACGGCGGCCACGGCGGCCAGCCGAGCTCAGAGCAGATACCGCACGAGTGGGCAAACAATCACAAGCCGCTGACGGGCCGGTAACGAATCGTCCAGTTATTTCTCCTGTGAGGAGCGCCGCGGCCGGGGTGGCGTCGTATCTCGGCCCCGGCAGACGGTTACACGTCGGCTGTGATTAAAAACGGCTCGACCCATCCCCCTCCCTCCCTCCCTCCCTCGCGACCTTCCTAGACCGATTGAGGGAGGCTGAACCGTAGAGTGGTGGAGTAGGTGGAAGCTTACATGCACTAAATCGGACTCTGATATTTCCTGCATATGCGTTTGTGTTTTGTAGCATCCTCCGAGGCTTCATTTCACCCAGTTTCAGTTTGTAATAACGCCTAATGTCTCATATCGCTTAGCTTCCGTCTCCAGCTTCCTAGTCAAATCCGGTCATAATCAAAAGACAATCTCGGCCCGTCTCGTCTGCTGGTGGGTGGTGGGGCGGCGGTGGTAGTGACGGCGGTGGGGCCGGCGCGGCATTGGGAAGCTCTCCCTCTCGGCGAGTTGAGCAGCTCAGCCGTCGAACGGTGAGCGCTGAGTCAGACTCCGCTTGTCGACCAGACCACGCTTGACGCGGCGAATTTGAGGCGGCGGCCGGCGTGGCAGCGCTGCGGTTACCAACGTTTCATCTCTGGGATGGCGGGCGGCCCTCAAGGGCAACCGATCGACTGTCCTCGGAAAAACGCCAGCAGAGCGACACGGAGAGGGACAGAGAGAGATTTATTTTTATTTCGGTGAACGGCGATCTGGAGGTGAACGGTAACCATATTCGTCAAAGTTGCTACTCAATACCATTGACTTTTAAGTTATCCAATAAGTTATTTAGTTATTATGAAAATTCTATTTCACTTTTATAAAGCCTTTGAGTACCTATACATTTGTATTGTCCATGTATAATAAGAACCCTTCTTTTTAGTTTTGACTGTCATTCGCTGAAAGCAGCCCGGAGAGACAGAGACATTAGTATGCAAGCTGAAAACCTGGATAGTTATTCAACCATTATGTGGCCAAGTCTTGCCAAGAAGTGCACTTCATGCCAAGCTGGAGCGGGCCTCGGGTGGTGAATTTTAGCGCACATCCGGACATTTAGCCCAGGGCGGAGCTGGCAGCACCTGCTGTCACTGCACAACTTGGACGCTGTTTGGGATGTTTATGTTCCACACCCACCCATTTAGAACAGTCGCCATTTGTGCTTCTGAGGCAGTGAGAGCGTTAGTGGTGGGCGGCTGCGGAGAGTTCATTGCGAGAGAGAAGCAGGAAAGGCGATGGGTTCTTTTTACCCTCGTAGGCTGTGTTAGATGCTTTCAGGATTATTTAGCCTTGAGTGCGATGCTTCATTTGTGGTTAAATGAACACTATATCAGAGGCTCACTTCAAGCGATGTGTCATATGCTGTTTCCTTAAACTTGTATGTATTTTGTACGAAATTCAGTAGAGAAGTCGATGTTTCTGCTGAGCTCTTGGTATTGATTGGTTCGATGACTTGTCATTTACAAATGCGTGATTTGATAACCATTTGGTCGCTGTTCACAGACCACGGTAACCACAATAACCATTTTGGTATCATTCAATTATCATTATGGTCTCCAAACCGTTGTGTGAAATGAGACGGGGTCATGGGCGAATGAATTGTGGCGAGTAGCGAGCGGCGACCGGCTATCTGTCCTTCGAAGAGTTGAACCGTAGATGCTGTCCACAATAATGTTGTTGCTGTTAAAATACCTCCCTGTGTTTTCAGGATGAGACTGTCGTGACGAATTGATGACAGCTCTGTGACAGACGGGTGACAGACTGTCCGGTTACGTTGACAGGTTTGTGACGGATGGCGGCCCCAGCGTCGACAAGCTGCAGCCGGGTGACCAGATCTGGCAGATCAACGGCGAGGATGTGAAGATGTCGCCGCGGGACCAGGTCATCCAGAGGGTCAGGTCGTGTCAGCAGCAGGTCACACTGGTCGTCTGTCAGCCACCGCTGGACAATGTGAGTCGGCGCTCGGCTGTCACCCCACAAATGTGATGAAAGGGATGAATCTGAGTCGATGGTTTGAGATGCTTGCGTGTTTGTGTGAGAGTATGGAAAGCTGCGTGAATTTGCCTTGGCGTGTCCTTAGCGGTCTGATCCTGATGATATATTGATATAACCTCCTCGTAATCGCCACCCAGACCATCTTTCACTAAGGTGGTACCTGCTTGAAATGCATTGAACCATTGAGAGGTCAGTTTTGACGCACGTCCTCCAAAAAGGAGCGTGCGTTCCGGTCCGGAAACGTGCGTCATCTCGGGCTCATCTGGCACTGATGAGTGTCCCGCAGTCTGCGCTCGACTGCCGAACTGGCATGTTATGTAGGTACCGATCAGACCACGGCATATTTTACACCCGTGCAGCAGCTCGACTGTTGTTGGTCATTCAATCACGGCTCCCACTAGTGACACTCGGCTTGTTGAATGACCGAGCTGGCCTCGGCTCAAGGACGCCGGAAATCAGGTCACGACCTCTCGAAGCGCTCGTCAAAAACGCTGCACGCGTGATCAAGCGCGCAGTGATTCACGTCACTGACTCAGGGGAGGCGGGGGGGGGGGGGTCTATTTTGGGCGGCCCTGCTTCCGATGGCGGGGCGGAGGCTCGTCGTGTGACTGAGGGTGAACCGCGACAGCTGTTAGATGCCTGTCGGCGGGACTTTGATGTTCTGAGGCGGGTGGGGCGGAGTTGGGGGTGAGGAGTGCTTAGGAGAAGGTGGGGAGGAAAGTGAAAAGGAAGTCAGGTGGTGCCGAGCAGGGCTGCGGAGTCGATGGATTTTCGGCGACTCCGACTCCGACTCCGACTCCGGCTTTCAAAAACCAGCTCCGACTCCGACTCCGACTCCGGGCAGAATTGTCGACTCCGACCGACTCCAACTCCCGACTCCGACTCCGCAGACCTAGCAGGGCTGCGGAGTCGACAGATTTTCGGTGACTCCGACTCCGACTCCGGCGCGGGTTTCTAAAATCGACTCCGACTCCGACTCCGACTCCGGTCACAACTGTCGACTCCGACCGACTCCGACTCCGACTCCGACTCCGACTCCGCAGCCCTGGTGCCGAGGACAGCCATCATCATTGCTACTGCAAGATGTTATTTTTGACCGATCTCACATGACTATGGATGTGATACAGCTCAAATTTCTATGTCTGATCAGTGATCCATCCCCATCGCTCGACCCTCAACCCAGTCCATGCCGTTGTAACTGCGCAGCATGACGTGTGCCCCACTTCAAACTGTTGTGACCTCAGCATATAGCTTTTGACCTGACCTGTGACCCCTGTTCCCAGACGGCGCGAAAGTCGGCGCTGCTCAGTGCTGCTAAGAAGCTCCGGCTGAAGAGTAACCCCTCGCGAGTGCGGTTCGCTGAGGGCGTGGTCGTCAACGGCCAGTCCAACGTAAGTATTGGTTGAGTTAGTGGTATTGGGGAATATTGGGCTCGATTATGAATTTGTATTTAATTGAATGTTTATTATAAGTAGGTGGTATGTGATGCAGAGTTTGTTTGTCAGCTAATAGAAATAGTTGAATCAATAAATAAATATGCTTTTCAAAACTTGTTCAGAATCCGCCATTTCTTTCTCCCATTACTGATTAGGCGCGTTTTAATTTCACGCTGATTTTAATTTGCATTTCTATTTCAAGTGCCACTTACAGCAGATGAACAAGCTTTTCATTGAATGTTATTATTTCATTAAATGGGCTCTAATATGATAAAAGAAAAGGGCTCTGCTCCTTAATGTGGCGTTCTGTTGTTCCTTTTTTTCTGACTGAAGCTGATTTGTGTAGTCGATTAGATATTTGGGTTTAAAAAAATCAAAAAATGATTATAGTACTGCATTTTATAACAGCATTTGCGTGTAAAATCAATGCTTTATTTCCCATTGTTGCCTTATCAATTAAACAGTTATTCGATACCTAAACGAATAACAGCTTGGCTTTTCCTGTCAAGCAGTTACAATAAAGCTGACTGTGCTCCTCAGCCATGTAATTTGGCGATAAGTTTGAGCTCCACATGTGGCTTGGGAACTTTTCCGCTCAATTACGCTCTAGTCCCTAATAGGCTTCCTTTTATAACTTCTTGCAGCGCCGCGTCGTAGGCTGCTTCAGGAAGCCAATGGCGACGGTAAATATTCGCAAGTCCGCACCGAGCACTTTTATTGGCACGATAACGTATATGCGTCTGAGAAATATGTGAATGTTTTTGGTGCTTGATTATATTTAACGCTGGATTTACCAGAATTTAATTTATATGCATTCTTCAACTAATATTTGATTGAAATGAGTTATTTTTACTGATATTTTAGCATGCAACGCGATAAGCATTGAGCACCACTTATTTCAATTTAACACTATTTTGTAGCATCTGCATTCTGCATTTCTAAGGACGTGCTTCGTCCTCACCAACTATAACGTGCTTCTGAACCTAAGTGACGAATCTCTGGAGGTGGCAACTGACAAGCTGACAAGCTATAAATACGAGTTGTGTATTGTACGTAACATTAATTTGCATTTGTTAAACCATTTTTTCGTTGAAATTGTATGCCTTTTCCTCTTTCAAAGATAAAGCCAAGAATTGAAATTCGACCGCTTGGTCTGTTGAGTACTTTGTAGCCACTGGAATGAAGTGAGAAAATGATAACTATAGAAATGATGGTGATTGGTGGGCATCATTTAGTTACGATAAGCCATACGAAGGTGCTTTTACCAGGGCACAGTTCAAAATGCACGACAGTCTGCACATACGATACATACCTATTTATGTAAATCACAGCGGTGCTGATCATTTAACATCTCTTTGTCTTTCAACCCGAACACCAATAAAACCATTTCTTGATCGCAAATATCGGTGAAACACACTATCAGCGCCATACTAAAACAAGCGTAACAATATCGTATTGAACGAAGATGGATAAGCAGTTATCAAAATGTTTAATTAGTGAGGCATTAAGTGACTAAATTTATTCACAGACTTCTATCGTACAAGTGTAAATAGTAGCTATTCATTTGTGAGTATACGTAACTTCGACATAACGTCAGTTGTTCGGCAGACTTTTGTCTGTCTCCTCGCCATTGTGACCGCCTCCCTCAGTGTTCTGACCCTATCTCTGTCGTGCCTTTGTCAGCTGTCGCCCTTCTCCTCGGACGAGTCGTGCATCCCGTTCATGCCGAACGTGCTCAAAGTGTTCCTGGAGAACGGCCAGACCAAGTCGTTCAAGTACGACTCGTCCACCACCGTCGAGGATGTGCTGGAGTCACTACAGGCCAAGCTAGGCATCAGCTGCGTGGAGCACTTCAGCATCGTGGCTGAGCACGTCAACAGCGTGCGCCGCAGCCGGCTCACGCTGCTGGACAATAAGGAGACCCTCGCCAGGGTGAGTACTACAGACGCTGGTTGCAGAATAGGTACTGCAGGCGTGTAGCCAGCGCTTGATGTTGGTGATTTGCCTAGGTGGGTACCATGGTGGTGGTAGACGGGTGGGTGAGTGCCCTTTGGGCACCAGCGTAGGTGACGCCGGTGGGGTCAGGGATGATCCAAGTGCGGTATTAATTCAACTTGGAATTATTTTATCGCTTATCTTAAGTAGCGTACCTTCAAAGGTATTCAGTCGCTCACTCAGCTTCCCTTGTCACATCCTCCCTTGAAGCGGCCGCCCATTATGCTACCCCTAACTAACTAACTCAACCCGTTCGGACAACAGCCGTCGACATTCTGTCTTGTGCTATCATCTGTATGTTCTTATCTGTCATCTACCATATATCATCTTTCACCCCCCCGGCCATCAGCAGTTGAACGACGTCACTCAGCGCATTTGTCCTAATCGCTTACTCATTACTGATAGGCCTGTCACCAGTTGTTACTCGAATCAGCCACTTACCATATGAACGTGACACGGCGGTAAATCATCACACTTGCATCTTCGGCTCGATCATTGAACACAGAGCTGTCAATTATACCGCGCAAGGTGCAGAGTGCCCCACCTCCCGTCTCCTCCCGTCCTATATTTACGTCCCACGTCCCTCTCCCACCGCCGGGCTGCAGGAAAGCGCTCTGTCTGATCCGCTCGGGCCGGATTGGGGCCGAATTGTATTGGGCCGCGGCGGGCGCGGCATTGAAAGGCCTTTCAAAGGCGGCTCCGGTGGCGGGGCCGGCGCCGGTGGGCGAATTAAACTGTTGCTCGCCACGAGTCCGTCTACGCTCGGCTACCTGAGAGCACGCGCCGGCGCCGGTCCGCCGGCCTCTAAAGGCTGAGTGATTGCTGCCGGCCGGTCTGTTTTCTTTGATGGCTCTGCCTAAGGAAAACAGGCTGAATCGGCGGCGCGAACCATCGCTTCCGTGCCAAAACGAGCGAACGAGTCTGCCAGCCAATTCAGGCCAAACATTCAGATTATGGATTCGGGGCCAATAAAGCAGCTCAGGGGGCAGGCAGCGTGGAAACAGGAACAAAGTGTTGCTGTAGGCCTTGGCGTACCAGTTAGTGCAGCTGAAATGGATTGAAAGACGTGTGGGTCAGAAATGATTGTTGCCGATTTTCATCTGCATGTCTGATTAATCGCTCAAATCGGTAACCCGAAACTGAAAACTCATGCGACTTAAGCCATGTTGCAAGTGAGAGTAAGAAAGAATATTTTTCTGTTTGATTTTTTTTACTAGACGTTAATCTTACAAGCAGTCAAAAGTTAGAATACATTATTTTATCAAAAGTAGGCATTGCCGAAGAAACACCAGTCAACAATCCGTGCCAATTCATGACATGACAAAAGTGAGGGTCTCAGAGTAGAAACGTCAGCAAATAGCACTCGCCGCTATCTGGGTCGCTCGAACATACATAGCTCTAATTTGGGCTAGTGGAGCGAGTGTAACCCGACCCGTCGAAGTCTCTCCGGTTTCCGAATTTCTTCAGCTCGGGGTGTTTTTCACGTCCGTATTGTGATGCTGACAAGTTGTCCGTCCCACATTTGCGGCCGTTTTTACGCCGGCGCCCGGCAGGCCCAGTTGGCACGCCTCGTTGGCGGCGAAATGGTCGGGCCGTGTTGCTGTTATTCTTTGAGAGGCCACGCTGCATTCGATTCTGAGCTACCGAAGGGATGTTGTGATTGTGTGCCGGCCGAGCCGGGGGCGTTTATTTGACCGTTGTGTGCGCCAGAGCGCCGCTTTGGGCCGGTGAACTGATTCTATCCCGCCGCAAACATAACTCGGCGGCCGTTTGTCGGTATTTGTCCGACTCGAGATGTGGTTGGTTAGTAAATGTGAGATTGTTCGCTTTGGCTGCTCTGAACAGCTGACCCGAACCACTTCTCAGACTAGCTGTATTCACTGGTTGTATGCTACACGAATGCCACTAGTTCCCCTCTCGCTGACGTGTGTGTTGGTTGTTTCGTCGACAGATCGCCGCCCGGCCCGGCGCCCGCCACCTCCGCTGTCTGTTTCGGGTGACCTTCGTGCCCCGGGATGCATACGAGCTGCTCAGGAAGGACCCGGTGGCCTTCGAGTACCTTTACGTTCAGGTGAGTGGATGTAGGCATTTTTAGACATTAAGCTCTATAATGAATTGAAATTATCTTGGGGATATTTACCATTCGTGCCCAATACAAACAGCGCAACGGCAATGTGAGCAGTTCGAAATGACTGTCAAAAGCTGTCCGACACATCAGCAAGGGTGTGCCTGGATATCGTGTTGGTCTTATTCTGTGACGTAGAAATGACCTTTCTAGAAACTTTATCTATGTTGTTCAAGCTCTGTCCATTCTTAAATGAGCACTCTTTTTGTCATTTTTTATTGATACAAACTATATTCGGTACAGCTTAAACGAGCCATGTGTAGAACCGGAGCCTCTTTCCATTTCCCCTAACACTACGAGTACGAACGACGTTCACCTCGTCGTGAACTCAAACACTTCTGGTCTAAGTCGTCCCGTCTGGACTAACCAATGGCTCATGATCAATAATTCCGCGGATTCTTTGGAATTTCCTCGACTTTCGACCAAACGTGTGACGTCATCCGTCACATGCCGTTAGCGGCGGTGACTTGGCGCCCGCTGTATTCGTCCCCGGCGGCTCCTCGCTGGGACCGTCTTATCGACTCACTGTGTTGATGCCTACTGCTCAGATGGCTAGCGGGATGGCATGTGTGGGTTATATGTGGCCGTTTACTGTGCTTATGTTGAACCGTCGCGTTGTGGGCGCTAGTGTTTCTAGGGAATGGGATGGCCGCCATAACGAGATTTTAAAAGTTATTTTGAAATTTTATTGCACCCAACCTCACTGCCTTCTGCCTTGCTCATTGCAATGACCTGATACTCGGTCTCGGCCCGCGCTGACTGGTCGCATCACCTGACCCCCGATGGGATTAAACACAAGCTGTGTTTGCTCACGGACACAACATCCTGACGAGATGAAAGAGAGTGTTGATCCAACAGCTCTCTGGAACAATGTGTCCGACCTGTCATGTTGAACTGTTCGTTTCTTTTTGCGCTGCGCTAGTACGCTTGATTGCAAAAGACAAAGCAATGGGCACATCAAAGCTGTGCCTACACTGCGCCCCGTTTTAAGAACAATGAGTTCGTCTCAATTTACGATTTTCAAAGGGTCGTTTGAAGTGCGATTCCAGTTCTGGCCGCCCTGCCAATGCCGAGTGACTTTACGACTGCTGATTGTCTTTGGAGGATTTATAACATGTCACATAGGACTTAAATATATTTCAGTTGTGGCTAGCTAGCCCAGTAGACCTATTTTTATTTTATTGTCATTGTTCTGCACTGCACTATCACTGTGCTTCGTAATGAGATGATCATGCAAATTGCAATTTGTTTTATCCCGCTTAGTTTTTCGGAGATGACTGTCTTAGGAACGGAAATAGTTTGATTCCTGGAAATATTTGACATTTTCATCAACAAAACAAATTATAAGGCACAATAATTTACGACTTCTATGATAATATTAACTATGCTTCTTAGATGAAGAAAACTACTCAGAAAAAGGAAAGCTTATTAAATATATTGGTACTCATCATTACTTGAAACTGTGTATGCTTTGCTCCATAAAGTTTTTTATATTTTATTAAAGAAATTCCAGCTGCCAACAAAGATGCCCACTGCCCTCTCCCCCAAACTACTGTGGCTAAGGCTGCAGCTAGCTGTCTGAAGGTCAAGTTCGCCTTCAACTTGTGACTTTACTTCCGAGAATTGGTCGTTCATCCGATAGGGATTTCATTCTCATTTCAGTTTTATTTCGGGCTCAGGCGATTTCTTTATCTCAACTGTCCAGCCAGGTCGTGCCTTACCCGGGGTCTTTACTGCGTATGGTCTGACTCGAACTGCAATGGAAGGTCACAAAAGTATCGGCTGTTGCGTTTGTCTCACATATGGGGAGTTGGGATATTTGTTTACATCGTTTGCAGGTACACGAACTTAGGTCATACAACATGGAGCGAAATAGACCCGATGTGATGCGAATTCGATCATATTTGTTACTAGTGCATTGTTTTAGCAGCACTTACATCAGTTTATTTGCACAAAATTGCGGCGATCTCTGTTAAATATGAACTGAACAGCAGAGTTACCGTCATCGGCCATCCCATATAACATACTGCAGTGCAGCACCAGACATTTTATTTAGGTAGGTACTAAGTGCTCACTGTGATCTGTATCATCTCGATTCGGCCTGACCTTTTCTGACCTCGACCTCTCGCCCTGCAGTGTTGCACGGACGTGGTACAGGAGCGGTTCGCTCCGGAACTGAAGTACGACGTGGCGCTACAGCTGGCGGCTCTTCACGTTCATCAGCACGCGCTCTCTAACAACCTCCAGGGCAAGATCACCGTGAAAAACATTGAGTAAGTGAACATGATAGATCAGAAAGCGATGCATCACACCCTTTCTCTTGGAGCGATGAGTTAAGTTTTTCGGTCAACGTCAATTATTTTCATAAAACTGAGCTGTCCCGATAATGAAAATATTATTCACTTGAGATGTGAAATATTCTCGCGGTTCACTTGGATAAAAACCATGGCTGGATGACTGGAGGAGGATTTTGTCGGGAACCCCTGGTGGAGAGGCTGGACGTGGCAGACCCTGTCTGAAGTAATGGCACAGCGGCTGGCAGACTGGCCGCCAATGGCCGTCTATGGTGGACGATAGCTGGCGATGGAGGGCGGTGGCTGGTGGCTATGGCCGGCCGCCGGCGGAACGGCCGACACCGCTGGACACGATGGAACCCAAGCGGTACTGCTAGAGGCCATGTCTCCGGCCCCGGGCTGTCCCGGCAGCCACAAACTACCTCCAACGACACGTGGTCAGGAGGCGTGCCAGGTCGGGGCTCGGAGTTATCAGGCTGACCGACCCGGGCGGACTTGAGCGTACAGTTCCGAAGTTTTAGCTATTCGTGCGTTATCTCTGCATGCTAACTCATTCCTCCAATTTGGAAGTTTTCTGAGCACGGGGTTCGCGGCTTTCTCTGCGGCCTCTGAGCGTGTCGGCTGCCGCTCGATTTATCCGAACGCCACCCACAACTGCCCGCCGCCGCCGCCCACTCGTCCTCTCTGTGGCGTGCGGCGGCGCCGGGCGGCTGCTGATCGCCCTCATCTATCGCCCCGGGGCGATATTTCTGCCGCACGTCGCCACATCGCTCCACAGGCACGCCACCTGAGCAGCGACGATTACGGCGCGCGGGGGCGGTCCCGACGCGCTAGGCGATCGCGACGTATTTACAGTTTTTTGTAGGTTAGATTGGTGTTGGCTCTCTGCTATATTAAAAATATGAATGGGTTTTTATTTACAGTTCAATGGGTTTCATGATGTTTTTGGCATAGAAATTGCCTTGCGTAGAAACAGAAAAGTCACCATTCAAGGTGGACTTTAAAAAAATCGTCACTATTTCACCATGAAAATGTCATGACGATGATGAACCTTCATCACGTCTAATGGATAGGAAAATCCGACTCATTGTTGACGCTTAGAACGCTAATCCGCCGACCACAGGGCACGCTATCGACTTCCCATTGATATTATCTAGACACTTACTTTTACTTATTATCCCAAAAATGACAGGCAGTAAGCTTCATTTGCAACAGTTCCGTGCAACATTTGCAACAGTCAGATTTAGGATAATCCATGCTTCCAAGGTGTGCGCTGTTCCTGATTGTGCAAGTGCATTCACCCCTGTGTTTTGTTGTTGCTTGCTATGATTTCCTCAGTCTCAGTATCAAATTCAGCCCCAGCCCAAGTCCAGCCTTGCCCAGCCCTACCTCATCCCCAACCCTAGCTGAGCCCAAGCCCTGGCCCGAGCCCCAGCTCCAGCCTTGCCCAGCCCCGGCCTCAACCATTTCTATAGCCCCAGCCTCGGCCCAGCCCAACTCAGCCCCTGTTCAGCCCAAGCTTCACCTCAGCTCATCCTCTGTCCCAGCCCAGCCCCATTCCCATCCCCAGCCCAGTCCCAGTGCCAGCCCCAGCTCAGCCCTGGCCTGAGCCCAGCCCCATCCCCACTCCCCCCTCCCCCCTCCCCTCCCCCGCCGCTGTCCATTCCGGCGGGCTCGACAGCCTGCCGGCTCGTCGCAGCTCGATAGTCGGCTGAGAATTAGTGTCGGACCATCTCGACCTAATCCGGCTCATTAGAGAAACGGCAGATCCTCGACGGCTAGCTGCCAGCCGACGCTCGGAACTGGGGGGCGGTGGACGGCGGACGGCAGGACGGGCGGATGGTCGGGCGGCCGTGCGGGCTAGCGGCGATGGGCGGTCGGGCGGTCAGGCGGTGGGCTATAGGCTGTGGGCTATGTAGGGCGGACGGTTGAGGGGTGGAGGGCAGTGGGTGGTGTTGAGTGGGCAGAGGACAGTGGACGGGGAACGGTGGGACGGTGAGATCGGTGGGAGGTCGACGATGGGACAGGGGACGGCGAACGGTTGGACGGCAGGACGGTGGGACTGGGCTGTGTAGGGTGGACGATGACGGGCTTTAGACGATCGTCGGCTGAGCGTTGGGCAGTGGGCGTAGGGTGGCCCGTGGACAGGCAGGCGTGCGGTGCAGGCGCCGGATGAAAGATAGTGGATTGCGGGCGGTGGACGGCCGGTCAGTAGTCGACAATTTAGGCTGTGGGCGGTGGACGGTGGGTGGCAAGCGATAGGCTATGGGGCATGGGTTATGTGCTGTAGCCTGTATGTAGGTGATGAACGGTGGGCGTTGCCGGCTGTTTGCGATTGCCTGTGGCTACGGACGACGGACAGCAAACGGCCAGCGACAGACAGCGATTAGCGGTGCGTTGCCACAATCATGACGGCTATATCGTGTCGGATCCGTCAGACGCCGGCTGTCCGCCATGCTCCGTTCGTAGAAGCAGAGCGCCCCGAGAGACTGATCAATCAGCGTTCTGAGACAGATCAATCAGCACTCTGAGACAGATCAATCCGCCGGCCGGGCCCACCTGGCGCTCCGAGCCGTAGGTGGGCTCCAGATGCGTGAACGCGGTCGAGCGAGTGTCCGGGGCGGCGGTCTGAGTGCCCGGGGCGGCGAGCTGAGTGTCGGGGGGAGGGGGAGCGGCCGGAAGAGTGCCCGGGGGCGGCGTGGGCGGAGGCTGGAGCGGATGATTGGTCGGATGCACCGTCGTGTTGGCCGGCTGGCCGCGTGGACGCGATAAGGGTTGAATTTCTGGTGGTAGTTGAAGGTTCGATGAGGCTATGGCGCTGAGGATTGCGTTGCGTCACAGCTTTCAGATGGTTTTGCTTTTCTTTTCTTTCGATAGCTAACATCACGTCGGCACATACACATTACACGTCATTCTTATCAACGATATTCTCGATGCGAAAAGCGCTATGGATTCCATGAATCGTTGTTGGGAAATTGTCTGATTTACATACCTTCAGCTATTATTATGCATAGCACTATCAAACGCATGACTACAATTAAACGCACGGTGACTTCTGCTTGATATGCACAGTTTCTCATCAGCCAGTCCGCATAGTCGCCTATTCGTCCGTCTACCTATCTGTCCATCCGTCCGTCCGCTCGACCACTCGTCGCCCGCCGGTCCCCGCAGCTCCCTGTCCGGAGCCCGGCCGCGGCTGCCAGCCATGCAGATAAGACAGGGCTTTGCCGGTCGGTCCGGGTCGCGACGAGCCGCCAGCGTCGGCTTTGGGTGAGCGCTGCGTCCCATCCATTCGGGGATAGACGGCCGCGGCGCCTCAGAAGCGTCGATCGGCGCTCTCCGCGACCCCGGCCGGCTCGGGCGGAGGGAAGTCCGGGTGTGAGGAGCTAGCCGAAAAAGGGAAATTGTGAATTGGCGAAGCTCAAATAGTCAATAGTCAAAAATTCTGTTTCTGTGTGTTTATGGAAATTGCTATAAAGTGATGGCTGAGTCAGGGTATTTTGGGTAAAAGGATTGAAAGATATTTCATTTCCTTAGTTTTCATCCATCAAAGTAAACGCGGAGGTCCAATACAATACAAAGATGCAATGGAATTGAAATGTTTGATGGCGATTGATGTGCATCTTTCGTCTGCTGTCGCCCTTTTGGCGCAGAATATCCTTGATATTTATCTCAAACGAATTGCATATGCACATCGAAATCAAAGAGCTTTTCACGAATGAAAGTTTGTCAATGGGACTGATGGTTGACAGGAGAGCAATCGTCAAATTTGGATCACCCCCGGGTCTCGCGGTGCAAACTGAGCAGAGCCCACCGATAAGCGAGCGTGGCCCGCCCAGCCAGCGTGTATGGGGAGGCCGTAATCTGGCGTTTGTTATCACTGCGACACGGATCGTTAGCGTCACAAATGAGCTGTCGGTCGGCGGCTGCAGCGGCTGACGCGCCGCTGTTGTGAAGTGGCCGCCAAACCCGTCAAGATTGTGATTGCACCGGCCAAAGCCTGACGGAGAGTTAGCGCGGCGAGTTTCGGAGCTGTGCTGGGAATTTGGTTATTGTGTTATGCGGCGTGCAGTTTGTTTATCATCCCATTAGCATACTCCTGTTACGTTAAGCGGGGCGTCGACGGAAATAGTGTTCGTCTGAAAGACAAGAAGACAATAGGCTACTTAGCAAAACTTTATCTTAACTAGCGCTCCTCAGTCACAATAATCGGTAACTTTGGAAAGGAATAGAATTGAATCTTAATCATTTCATTTGTCTTTTTTTGCGCGAATGCAGGATTTCACGAACTAGATCCTTATTTGCAGGACATGCTGCTGTTGGGTATTCAGTCTTCAACTTGGCTATCAAAGAAAAAGATCGACGCTGAACTGCGATCGTATTTCTTCAGGCTATAGATTTGCTCAATAGTTGCCTTCAATCATTCAGTCTCCGTAGATATTGACCACTCCCTTGAGTGAATTATGATTTGATTATGGCTCATTTGCGATAGTCTATTGGACGAAAATCCGCCTGCATATTTCTACGACGACCTTCTGGAATCGTTGATGTGCATATTGTTAGTAGCGCATATTTTTACCGCTCTGCTCCAGCTCCTGTATTCACGTGAAGTCGTCGAGACAAACTTAGTTATTGTTCCATTGCTGGCTTACTCAATTGGTTGTGCTCATGTTGTGCATATCTGCTTCTTGATTATGGGACTTAAAACCTCACTTTGCCGCCTGGAATAAAGTTCTGGGACTTGAACAGCGGTGTAACTTTCTATATGTATGGGGGTGCAGGTGCACCCCCATCCCCTGAAAGTGCACCCCCATCACGTCAAAGTGCACCCCCATAGGCTAAGCGGCGCCCCACACGCTGCCCGACACCGATAAGCTCTTGAACAGCAGATGGTGAGGGTGATATCCCGGCTACATTCCGTCTCGTGACCGGCGTCGTGCTGCCTGCGGGCTTGGAAAGCGTCCAGTCGTATCGTTCCCCAAAAATGGGTGAAAGGGGCACCCTGGCAAGAACGGGACTTTCTCAGCAAAAGTGGAGCGCCCGAGGCAGAAGTGGGGCACCTCTAACGTAGGTTGGGATCGTCAAGCATAAGACTGGCGCCCCAGCGGAGGAGAGGCGCCCCCAGTAGGAATGAGGCCCCTCAAGCAGAACTTGAATTCGCCCAGTAGAAGAGCGCCCTCAGTAGAACACGGGCGACCCCAGCAGAAAGGGGCGCCTCACCAGCAGAAGGGCGCCCTACCAGAAGAAGGGCACCCCAGCAGAAAGGGGGCGCCCAACCAGAAGAGAGATGCCTCCAGCAGAAAAGGAGCGCCCTCAACACAGGAATGGCTACCCAGCAGAAAGGGGCGCCCCACCAGAAGAGGGATGCTTCCAGAAGAAGAGAGGCACTCAAATATAAATGGGGCACCTCAAGCAAAAGTTGGGCTCGTCCAGTAGTAGTGGGGCGCCCCCAGCGGAAGAGTACCCCCAGCATAGGGCCACCCCAGCAGAAAGGGGCGCCCTACCAGGAGAGGGATGCCTAAAGAATAGAGGCGCCCCAATACAAAAGGGGCACCTGGAGCAAAAGTTGGGTTCGTCCAGCAGCAGTGGGGACCCAGCGGCCTCGGCGGAAGTGGGGCATCCCCAGCAGAACAGGGGCTCCCCAGCAAAAGAGCAATGCCCCCAACAGATATTGCCGAGCACCTTCAGCAGAAGAGTACGCACCTGCAGAAGAGGGGCGGTTTCACCAGAAGCACTGGCGGATCCAGGGGGGGGCACGGGGGCCATGGCCCCCCCCCCCAAAGGCCTAAAGTGGCCTGTTTGGCCCCCCCAAAACGTCAGAAAAATTGCTAAGAAAATATACCTTGATGGAGGTTTTTAGCACACTTGGTGAAGTAAAGCTTTCCACAGCATAATATGGAAGCAATATGGTAGCAGTGAGGGTCAGTCAAAAGTTGCGCGAGTGGAGTCGACCTTCAAAAAAGACTGTTGTTGGCACGTGTTTATGGAGCGGTAGCTGGGAGTTGGCGGTGTTTCGCGTGGTGAGGCATCACTGGCGGATCCGGGGGGGGGGCACGGGAGCCTGAGGTGTCCCTGACAGGCCCGTGGTGCCCTTGCTAGGTCTGTGGTGCCCCTGGACCCTGGCAGGCCTGTGGTGCCTCTGGCGGGCCTAGGGTGCCCCTGCTAGGCTGCTGATGCCCCTGGGACCTGACAGGACTGTGGTGCCCCTAACAAGCCTAAAGTGCCCCTAACAGACCCGTGATGCCCCCGACAGGCCCAAGGTGCCCCTGCGTGATGCCGTGTTGTCTGCGAGGCCGATGGTGCCCCTGCGAGGCCGGTGGTGCCCCTGCTAGACCGGTGGTGCCCCTGGCAGGCCTGTGGTGCCCCTGCTAGGCCGCTGGTGCCCCTGGGCCCTGACAGGACTGTGGTGCCCCTGACAGGCCCAAGGTGCCCCTGCAAGGCCGGTGGTGCCCCTGTAAGGCCTGTGGTACTGGTACCCCTGCTAGGCCTCTGGTGCCCCTGACAGGCCCATGGTGCCCCTGCGAGGCTGGCGGCGCCCCTGGCAGGTCTCTGGTGTCCCTGACAGACCTGGGGTGCCCCTCACAGGCCCGTGGTGCCCTTGCTAGGCCTGTGGTGCCCCTGGCGGGCTGGTGGTGCCCCTGCTAGACCGGTGGTGCCCCTGACAGGCCTGTGGTGCCCCCGGGCACCAAGGGGGGGGGGGTCATGACCCATGTGGCCCCCCTTGGATCTGCCACTGATACATATCATACTGATTAATAATGGCGTTATGGCTTATGCAATATGCAATGGCAGGCACTTGGTATCCCTTACTTATCCCTCATTGGGGGCTCTGGCGGGCTCCTGAGGGCCCACGTCTATCTCCGGGAGCCCTAGACAGGCTCCTTTGGGTCCTTTCAGTCCACTATAGCATAAGAGGTCTCCATGCGAGTCCTATACATCTGAGGGCGTACCCTGACGTCTGAGGTACCCAACTGCAGCTCCAATGGTCTCTTATACTGGCGGATCCAGGGAGGGGGCATTTACGGCCATGCCCCCTTCCCAGAGGCCTAAAGTGGCCCGTTTGCCCCCTCCCCCAAGCGATAATGAAACATAGTTCAATCAGTGCCTGGCCCAGGAACCGAGTTAGACAGGGGGTGTTTTACCACCTCCCGGCCCGCAAAGGGACCCAAGCACTGACTCGAAGCGGGTTAACTGGTCGACAAAAGCAATGGTAAGTGTTTACAAAGTAATATAAAGGCATGGGTCGGATGGGCTACCATTTATATATTTTTACTTTTAGTTAAAAAAAAAAATATTCATAGTGTCAGGGCTGTGACGAAAAATAAGTGGCCTAAATCCGATGAGAAAACAGGATTTGGGGGTACCCTAGGTTTGGCTCCTGCATGAGTTGGCCCCCCCCCCAAAACGCAAGCCTGGATCCGCCAGTGACCAGAAGAGGGGCGCCGCCACCAGAAGATGGGCGAGGGCGCCTCCAGCAGAAGAGAGGCAGCCCCGCAAAAGAGGGGCGCTGCCCGCAGAAGGGGGTGCATACAATAAAAATGGGACACCTCAAGCGGCAGTTGGGCTCGCCGAGTAAGAAGGGCGCCCTCAGTAGAAAGGTCGAGCGACTTAAGCAGAAGTTGGGCTCGCCCGGCAGAAGAGGGACGCCTCTAGCAAAAATAGGGCATACCCGGGAAGGGAAGTGTCAGTCTCCAGCAGAAAAGTGTGAGACCCCAGCAGAGGAGGAGCGCCCATCAGAAGCAAGTCCCGCCGAGCAGAAGAGGGGTGACCTCAGCAAGAGAGAGAGGCGACCCCAGCAGAAGAAAGGCGCCCAATAAAAAGGTGATTCCAGCAAAAGTGGGTGTCACCAGTCGCCGAGCGTAAAAAGGGCACCCCGATTCTATAAAATTTCGGAATGAAAAAGCTAAATGCAATTTCGTTATAAATTTGATTGATTGATATTCGTGTAAACGAATTTAATGTCATTTCGTAATACCCAATTTTGTACCATTGGACTCTAACATTGGGGTGTTTAGTGCTCTTACAATTAAAACTGCACATGAAAAATATTCATTTTACTTGAAAAGTTCTTGTACCTATAAGTAGAAGCCTTGACACCCGTTTATCGGTGCGCCGGTTAGAGGGCCTTGGGTTAATATAAATGAACTGCAATCCCATTTGCAGCATCAGACTGTGTTCAAACTAAATTGGAGCAACACAAAATGGTGATCACTCTTAAGTCTGAATTTCGAAATATACCAACAAAGCATTTTACCAAAATTGAGAGACATTAAAATGGTGATAACGACTCACTGGATCGTATTTGAATGAAACATGCTGCGTAAACAAAAATGGAGCATTTATTGCTTTGAAAATTGAACGGGAACTGAAGTAATTGTTTTATCATGTATCGACAGAAGCTAAGTTTCAAGTCAACCGAAATATAATCACGTTGGGGAACTTTTTTGGCTGGGGTCTGTGGTCCTTCGGCATGAAGGGCCCCAGTTTGCAGGTCGTGCCCCCCCCCCTGTTAAAAAATCCTGTGTGCGCGCCTGTTGAGAGATATGCACCATGTATGCTCCTTGGAAGCGCCCCTATCCTCACTGAAGGTCGCCCCCATCACCAAGTGCACCCCCATCTCAAAAGCAAAAGTTACACCCCTGGACTTGAAGCTAGTTACCTTAGTAAAAAATGCGTCAGTCAGTGTGCCGCCTTGCGTATAGACTGTCCCGCCGCACACCACCGCCTGGCCCGTAGGCTGTTCCGTCAAACACCGCCGCCTAGCGTGTAGGTAGACTGTTCCGCCGCACACCACCGCCTGGCGCCTAGACTGTCCCGCCGAACACTGCCGCCTGTCGTTTAGACTGTGCCGCCGTGCTCGGTCGGCCTGCCGCGCCCGCCGGCCGTGTGTTTAGAGCGGTGGGTCGGCGGCCACTGAGTCGATCGATTGGAGAGTTCGGTGCGCTCTCGCGGGTCCGCACGGTCGCGGCTCTCCTGAGCTGGTGCGGTGGCAGAGAAAGGGAGAAGGAGAGAGGGAGGATAGCAGGGATGGCCGGACGGCCGCGGTGGAGACGGCGGTGGATATTTATTGTCCGATCAGCTGGGGGATCCCATCAGACCGCCGGTGTCCTGCCAAAGGGGAACAACGGACGGTTTTATGAGGCTGCGAAAATGGGTGGGCAAGAGATAGAGGGCATAGAAGAGAGAGCGAGAGAAAGGGAAGTAAAGGGAGGAGGGACAGAGAGAGAGAGAGAGAGAGAGAGAGAGAGAGAGAGAGAGAGAGAGAGAGAGAGAGAGAGAGAGAGAGAGAGAGGGAGGGAGGGAGGGAGGGAGGCAGGGAGGCAGGGAGAGAGAGTGAGATCCACAGAAAAACAGACGAACTTGACGTGAAAAAGATGGATTCGGCTGCCGTCGGACGCCGGCCGTCCGAAGGTGATTGGATCAGGTGGTCGGGTCGGTGCAGCTGCCCGGCTGTGTCAGATTTAGCCCGAACCCGCCACCCCATATGGATTTCATATCCGGAGCCATGAGCATGATTAATGGAGTGAATTCATTCTGACGGAATTATGAGGCCTGAAATATTCATCCGGTTCTGCAGAGCGTCTCGCCCTGACGCCGATTTATTGAAGTGATGCGCGCTAGCTGATCCTTATGAATGGACACGTTTATCAGTGCAGCTGAATCGGTCATTGGCAGACATTTCATCTCACTGAGCCTTTCATTCTCTTGAGCCCTTCACTGCTTGACCTGAATTCGCGTACGGGATAGAGAAGTGACTAATGATTGGAAAATGAAATGCGTGATTTCTTTGCTGGGTCTGCATCTTGTTAACTATTTGCTGGACACAAGTGATCACACCGTCGTCTTCTAGTCCCACTCATGTTTACCGTCCGACTCGTGGTTAGCTGAACCCACTGCTCAATTCCGCCCATCTGACCTTTGGTTCCGTTACAGACGGGAATTCGGCCTGGAGCGCTTCCTGCCCATCTCGCTGGTGGAATCCATGAAGCGGAAGGAGCTGCGGAAGCTGTTGGCGCACTTCCTGAAGCAGAACCAAAGTCTGGTCGCTGCTGGTCAGAAGCAGCTGACCGCGCTGCAGGCGAAGCTGCACTACCTCAACATTATCAGCCACCTGCCCAGCTACGGCGCCAAGTGCTTCAACACCAGTATCGGGGTAAGAGGCACCAGTGGCCACATCTGTTTGACAAGTGCTTGGTGGTTTTCGGAGACGCTATCATATTGTGCGTAGGTTATTATGTGTGTATCTTTATGTTATCTATCTTTATGTTCGACTTTTTCTTTTGGCATCATCGTCGTTTTTCATAAGTTGCGTTGATAATTGAATGTTACCTAGATTAGCTTTGCCCATGTCTTCAAGCTGCAAGATCAACATCGTAAACAGTAACGTTTCTGAAAAATGCTTGTCGAACAGACGTGACGAGATTGATGTTCTCATTAAAAGCCTTGACAGGTTATATAAAAAGGTAGCAGTTCCGCAACAAGCGAGCTGGCCCGAAATAACGCTCTCCACAATAACATTGTGTCCGTTTGATATAGCGCGACAGGCGGGATAAAGGAAAATTAAAATACCTGTGGCCATGCGATAGTCCAGTGGCGGACCATCCATAAATTGCCTCACGCGATGGAGGATGTATCGATGGGGCTGGTTGGAGGGGGGACCGCCGAGGCCTCGGGCGCCGCGGTATCCATGGGAGCAGCTGCCGCGGCGTTATCCATTGGTGGCCGCAGGGCAGCGGTATATTCCCAGAGGTTATAAAGGCCACGGCGCTATATCCCAGTACCCGAGAATAAGCCACAATAGATGCATGTGAGGAGATATCTGGGAATGATATAGATAGATAAACCAGAATGCTGTCTCATCGTCGCTGCGCCATTTTTATGCCTATAATATTCACATTTTTAGTAGAAAATTTATTCATATTATTTGTTTCAAATGTAAGTATTTCGCAACAATATGACAGTTTTTAGTATCACTTTTTTCTTTACAACATCTCACTAATGATCTTGCTGTCCCCTGAAACAGATCAATTTTGCAACGTTTCTTTCCATCCTTATATCAACAAGGATCAAAGGCCATCATTGAAATCAATTCCGACCTCAATAAGATCCGAACACCACTAGCGCGACCGAAACGCCGAGATCATTACCGCCCAGAACTGGGTCTCCAAAACAGTCCGCGGTCCCTGGAGCAATCGCCAAAACACGAGATCCCCGGAGATCCCGTGAATACACATGATCGCGCGGCGGTCCCATCGGGGGGAGCACCGAGCGTACGGGGATCGTCCCACCGCCCCGGGGACGTGCGCTGAGCCTGTTTGCTAAGAGCGCTGCGGTGTAATGCGACGAGAGAGACGGCCGGCGGGCGGCAGTGGCGATCGCTGTCAGAGACACAGGCGGTCGGTGGTGACAGCGGACAGATGACAGTTGGCTGCTGATGGTTACTGTCATCAGTAGATGATGGGTATCTATCGTCAGTTGCTACTGATTCATAGGTGGGAGAGGAACTGATAACATTTCGTTTGGGGTTGACGTTTAGTCGTTTGAATTATTTGAAGCTGAGCACAAAAGGATACATGGCCGGTAAATGACGAGACGAAACTTCATCGACAAGACAATTTTGAGTCTCTCTTGGTCCAATAAAACTGTTTCGCTACCACAGTCTCTTACAAAACTCCAAAATTGTCCGCTGATTGTGTGTCTTTTGCTTTCCACAGGAGTCCAATCTGGAGACAGTGATCCTAGTCAGTCCCAAGTTCGGTATCAGCCAGATCAACAGCCTCAAAAGCAGTTCGGTGAGTTCACTGCACACTACACGCAAACGTTCTGTGTTGCTACACTATCTTCTGCCCTCCAGGCACGCCGTTTTAATGCGTCGCATTCATCAGGGCACGCGGCGCAGTCCAACTAATGGTAGCTCTCTGCACAAGCGGCTAATATTGCAACACGGGAGGTACGCGGGGAGGTAGGCTGTCAGCCCCGTCGGCAGCCGGGCCCCGCCGCGCGGGCTGTCAGCATCGGCCCACAGGGATACGGAACACCTGTTTACATCGCCGCCGGCAGTCGGCAGAGCTGAAGAAAACGGTATCACAAGACAGCCGGATCCGCTTTTTCAATTAGGGCGTCCGGAGACCAGAGGGGGGTGATGCAACGTCCTGTTGCAATGTCCTGTCGTGCACACGAAGTGTGCGTACGTAAGTGTGTGGTGTGTGTTTTTGTGTCTGAGGTGATGTACTTGTGTGTTCGTGTTATGTTCGAGATGTGTTCGTGTCATGAAAGTTCGGTGTGTTTGGGCCACTGTGTGCGCGTTTGCGTGTGTCTGGTATCATGCTTGTGTTTTATGTCTTTGTCTTTATGTCGATCAAGAAGTCGACTGGTAGACGCATGGCTGTCGGTCGCAGAACTTCTGTTGCAATCTTCATCTGTTTTAACTCATTAATGACGATAAACCCGTAGTGCGTGCTACGAAATTCGTTCTTATCGTCGTCGAACCAATCGAGCGTCGTCCTGGGTCACTAAGATCGGACGGGCTCGTCGTTTTACCACCACACCGCACGTGATATCGGTGCTGGACGGGTGAGCTGTCGTTAAATGGGTTACTTGGATGTCCCAGGTGTCCCCTGTCGTCGGCTTAAATGGGTTACCTCGTGCCGTGGGCTGCTAGACAAAATCTCAGTGGCTTGAGGCGTTCAACCTGACGTATCGGTATGGATTAGTCGTGGTGCAGGCTAGTGACATTCGAAGTGTTGCCATGAATCTCGAAATCAGAAACCAGTCAACAACTATGAAATCAAGAACGAAGTAAGAAGTGATCACTATTGTGCCGAAGAGTTGCTTCACAAGCCCACATTGCGTGTTTGTGTAGTGAGTCATGTCAGTTTGTTTTATTTTCAGCTAACGTCAGCTGAGAAGCTAGCTCCCCTGAGTAGCTCAGGTATTTAAATTTTGGTCACTAACACATGTCAGAGATGCTGCACCGTGTTGGAGACAGACACAATACCTCCATGATATGATCCTGGGTCGCCACCTCCGCATCATCCGCGATCCTCCCTCTCCTCCGTCGGTCGATTGATCGCGCGGCGCGCGGCATGCATGTGTGCTGTTCCGACGGGTATTATCCGCCGGACTCAGGGGAGTCGGCCCCTCGTCTGGCCGACCGCGCCGGTCAGATGAGTACATACGGCGGAGGCCGCAGATGTAAACAGCGCACACACCGGCGTACTCGTATACTGGACAGGAAGGAGATGGAGGTGGGAGTGGAAGGAAAGGCTATCGCGAGTGGTCGTGCTATAGAGAGTTCAGTTAACGATATGGTGGCGTTATGCCGCTGTTGCAGGAATATTGGCACTCATTAACCGTTAATGATTAATAGTCTGATACTGACGTTTATTGTTTGAAAGCTTTCGGCAATGGTTAGACTCTTATTTCCATGCCCACGGCCCGACACTGGTGTTCGTTTTCTGACGCTGATGTTAATGGTCCCGTACAGACATTCACTTTCCGATACTGATGTCCATGATTATGCGATGCTGACGTCCATGATATGATACTGACCTGATGTGTTGATACTGACGTCTGTTGACTGTTGCTGGCGTCCATAGCCCGATGTCCGATACCGCAGCCCATGACCCAGTGCTGACGCCACTGCTCAGCCTCACACGTGACCTGTGCAGTGTGCAGTGACGTCGGTACGCTGGCCATCGGAAATGATTGCCGACTTTGCGAGCCGCTTATGTGACCGTTATTGCGTCCGCTAGTCTCAGAGTGGGCCGCCATAAATAGACTGATACGGTGCGAGTTGCCCGGACTCGGGGAGAGGGGGCGGGGGAGGGGGTGCCGGGGGCAGCTGAGGTCCAGTTAGAATGATATTGAATTGGGTAATGCATAGCTGATAGCTATTGTCATTTTACAAATATTATTATGTTATCAATAAGTTAGAGATAGAGATAGTTAGAGATAGAGAAGTTTGTGCTAGTGCCTATATAATAGTAGGTAGTTACCCATCGGACACTATTGTAGTGCTGTGGATCGATGGAATATCACGTTCAATCGTATCTGATATTGGATACCCTGGTAGCTTCATGCCTCGTGCTTGCTATTTCGGTACCACCACAAGGAACCATTAGCCATTGCTGACATGACTGGTCCATTTTCAGCCGGAGGCTCTGTGTGAAGTGAGCGAGCTGGCCGAACTGGAGGTGACCAGGGAGCACGAGCTCTCGCACCGCGTACACCTGGTGCTGAAGGACCCGGATAAACAGGCGAGTGGGGATAGAGGTGGGGGCTTGGGTGATGGGAAGAACCGCTGGGGAAAGAGCAGGGGAGCATGGTTCGGGTGGAGCGCACAGGGCAGAACCAAGCTGCTGGGGAGCTAGCTGGTAAACCGACAGAAAAAGGTTAACGCATGGTTTCATGTGTTTAGATGTTTGTCTATTATAACGATCATATATTTTGCATGTAAATTTATTCGTTTTCTTAGTGTATTCTCACCACATATGTAGGTAGGTATGTGTAGTGTGGAGCATGTCATTCCTAACAAGCTTCACCTCATGGTACTCAGCGCATCCTGTCCTTTTGTCTGGCCGTGGCTATTATCAGCGTCGAAGCGTCGATCTGCCTTATGCAAAACACATCTGGCCCCAGCTTCCCCGGTAAAGTGGTTTTCCGGGACCTTTTGTTGGCTGGAATCTCAATCATTGTGGCCGCACTTTGCATGCGCCGCGTGCCGGTTTTCTATCACCGCGTCCAGTGCAGATTCTCTCGGTTCAAAGCTGTCCGGGACGCTTCTGTGGAATCTACGTTTGTCTTATGTAGCTCTTTGTATGCAGTTACTTCCCGACATTTATGTGTTTTATTTAATTGTTCAGTTTGATAGGTGTGTTGACATATGACATAAAACCTCGCCTTATGAACCAACTTATAGGTATATTATGCAATGCCAAATACTATTCATACTGATATCTAAGAGTCTTAGAGGGAACATTCAACCGCTTTAGCTTCAAACTGAGACAGTGGTTTTGTAATTCAAGCTGAAAATTCAAACGATGCTTAAGTAGGTACTTGCCAGGTTTGCGGAAACGTCCCATCATTTGCATTTATCTTAGCTGGCGTCTGAGAACGAATTCACTTCCGTCTCTGGTTCATGATAACTTCGATGTAGAAAACCAGCGCAAGAATAGCATTGATTATTTTTGCTTCGTCTGATGTACGGTAATGTAACCTTAACTTCGACCTGCTTCCGTATATCGCCAACTAAACGTCGGTCAAAACACACGGCCTAACCTTTAAGCAAAGATCATAGGCAATAACCCTGTCGACTTAAGTGTAAGCCCGGGTCTTCCCGCCGGGACAGCGAGCCGTCTGACCTGTGACCTCTGACCCGAACAGTCGATCGTGCTGAACCTGGACGAACGGGACGCATCGGAACTGGTGCTGGCCATCGGAGGTTATTACCTACTGGCCACCGGCCGGACCCTGCCGGTGCGACAGGACGCGTCCGTACAGCAGGATGACGCAGGTGAGTTCTGGTGCCGGCCAGACTGCGACAGGATGCGTCCGTTCAGCAGGCGACGCAGGTAGGTTCCGGTGCCGGCCAGACTGCGACAGGATGCGTCCGTACAGCAGGCGACGCTGGTAGGTTCCGGTGCCGGCCAGACTGCGACAGGATGCGTCCGTACAGCAGGCGACGCTGGTAGGTTCCGGTGCCTGCTGAGACAGCGGCTGGAGCGGCAGGACACTAAACCGATGTGTCGCTTCATCAGCAAAATACTACAGGTTATACTAAGGTGCCGCTTGCTTTTTATTTACCGCTAAACAACGCCTCGAATCAGTACACCTTTTTTAGGCTTTGTGATCGAGACGGTTACGCAGCAGCAATTCTGTGTAAGAGTTTCGAGCACGCATTCGACCACATGGACTTACTTTATTGTGGACTTTCGTATCAAATTACCTGCATTCTCTCCCAAGCGGGTGGTCTCACGAGTCACGAGTCATTACCACGTGACATTGCGTGTCGAATGTGTGCCGCTGACCACCATGGTATGCTGCACGCCATCTGTATGAGAGACGCTCTCCGACCGGTTATGGTTAGTTTTCCGGTCCAATATTAGACTGTCAGGCAAACAAAGAACGGTTATACATTGGTCTTATTTGTCACGCAATGGTAGGTACTCACTGGCCGTCTCCCTTGGTGACGGTTTCGTATTGTAGGCAAAAAGATCAATCAGCATTGTTTTAAACGTCTCTTTTTGCTTTGGTAGTTAAAGCATTTTCTGTTCGCTGACTTTTAACCACGTTATAATCCTTGCTCTATCGCAATTTATCGAGCATAATATATTGACATTGGCTTCAACTAAAGCGCATTCGACACTGAACCTTTATCTGTGCTTAGCCATTAGTCTAGCTAACAACAATAATGGCAACAAAAGCACACTCGCAAACGGCACGCCTTGCACTGCACCCCCTGCCGCGCGGCGCCGTCGATTTTCCGTTCCCTGTCGTGCGGCACAGTCTACCTTCAGGCGCTGTTGGTGCTGCCATCTATCGGTAGCGCCGTAAGTGACTCTCCCGCCCGCTCGGCCCGCCTTGGGTGCCGTGCTGGCGGCCGCGGATGGCTCAGGTGTTGCCAGACCGGCTGAGTGAGGATGCAGGTGTTGCCAGCTAGTCTAACAGCCCCGAGTATCGCCCGGGGGTGTATTGACGCGCCAGTATTGTCGCAGGAGAGGGACACCAATACGGGAATGGTTTGGGCCGGCCCGCGGAGAGCAATGTGGAGTCGCTGTCGAGTGGATGGGGTTCGTGGGAGGAGGGGAGGTGCATTAGTGAAGTGGTGGAGAGGGTTGCCGGGAAGAGAGGAGCGGGGGAGTCGACGGGTCTGCTGCCGCGGAATTACTTCAAACTGAGAGGTGGCGGAATGAATATCGGCAGTGGTTTCGCGTAGAATGGAGAAACTTGCTATACAAGAAGATGAATTAATCTGTCATCTTTGTATAATGCGGGCGACTTTGAGCGATACTAGGTCGCAATATGTTGATGTAAAAAGGATGAATGACGTCTATGTGAGCGATTGGTAATATATTCACTGAATATACAAGTACCTTATGGACATAACATTCCAGTTGCGAAGTAACCTTGCCAACTAAAGCCAAATGCGATCAGGAACTTGTGGAAACAAACTTAGCTTTGAACTACGTAGTAAACATTTCAAAACTGCGCCGCCACTAGTTAGTTGCCGCAAAGCCCGCAGCCAACTTGTGTAATGTGCATTATATCATTATTTTACTCAATCTCGGCGTTCTTTCCCTGCACTGCTGACCTGGCCCGCTCTCCCGACAGCGCCTCCGTACCACACCACCCACGTAGTGACACCGGACAGCTGGAGTTACACGGGCGGCGCCGGGGTGGCCAGCACCATGCGGGCCGACTTCTCCCTGCCTCCCCCGTACCGGGCGTCCGCTGAGCCCGGCGCCGCCGCGGGCATGACCAACGGTCACCCGCCGACCGCCGATCGGTCACCGCGGCCGGCCGCTGACCGGTCAGCCGGCGCCGCCCCGTCGGAGCTCCCCAACGGCCCGGCGGCGGACGGCTCGCCGCGGCTGAACGGACTCTCCTCGGCCGAGAGGAGGGACGGCGCCGGCAGCAGCCCCGAGGAGCAGCGCCGAGCGCCGGCCGTCGATAAGAACATGAACAAAACGTGAGTGAGGGGTGGGTGAACACTGCAGTGGGTGATTGTGGTTGGGCTGATTTATGAATTAAGAGCATTGAAGTTACGTTATGTTCTCAAATGCTTACACTGTGGCTGGCGTCCTGCTTATGTCACCGATGGACCTTGGTAGCCATATCTCGTTTATATTAGCATCGGTCCTCGCTGGGGATATTTTTATCCGAATTCTACTCCCGCTTCCGTTCTTCCTCTCGCCACGCCCCTCTGAGTCCTAACCGGCGGCGATGGCAGCTGCCTCGCCGCAGAAATCTATCATCATCAGCGCGGCGGCGCACAACTTTTCATATTAATAGCCTCCGCCCACCCTATTCCGGCCCGGCGCCAGACGACGGCCGGCCATAATGCTATTGTGCTCTGTCTCCCATTCCTTCATTTCATTTCCAGACAGCCGAGACACCAGACGTTTTGCATGGCCCATTTACATAGAGAAGGGTATTTAGGTAAAGGCTGGAAGGGCTTACCCGGCCCAGCGGAGCCAGTTAGGAAGAGTTCCATCTCAGTGACGCTCGAGATCCGCCGCTCTTCGAACGAGGTTCCGTTAGGGCCTTCGGGTGACGGATGGCGACCCCTCTCCGCGCTAAACTTAACCTCGGCCGGCAGAACGGAGACAAACGCCAACTTGGCAAGATTCACGGCGATCAATGGCAAGCCCGACTTCATCCCGGCCGCCACCGACCGAGATGAGGAGGAGGAGGAAAGTTTTGCCGAAGCGAAAAATAGCGAGGTAAGAGCCAGGAGGGATTGTTGAGCCCTAAGCGTGTTGCAGTCGCAGCTGCCTAGCTCATCCGTAACTCTCCGCGGTGACATTTAAACTTGTTGAATGTTTTATGACTCGATGCGTGAAAGTCGTGGTGGGTTTGAATAAGGTCGCTAGCTCGTAGTGGTTTGGCAACTTTCTGGCCGATCTTGTTGTCAATGCATTGATCTTGTTCTTGTCGATTTTATGGCAACTTTCAACTTACTGAACTTATCGACTTAAAGTTGCACTGTTTTTCTCTCCAATCTGACAAATCGTGTAGCTAGCAATTCGTGTCCACACCACATCCAAAACCCTAACCCCGAATCCCTAATCGTCACCCACGCCCCTATCTGACATGATCAAACCTAATGGAAACAATGATCCCCTTTCCACCGCCTAACCTCCCCTACCACCTACTTCTCCGCTGACCACCTTACCCGACCAACCCCAGCCTGACCCCGCGTTCAACACCCACAGGTGATTGAGCGGCTGGCCGGTATGCGCCAACTAGTAGCTGACGCCGAGAACTACCTGACCACATCGTCATCCCGCGTCCCGGACGAAGACGTGGAGGACGCCGAGTCCCTGCGTTCGGCACTCTCCCGATCAGAGTCTGAGGCAGCGTTCGGACCGCTCAAACACAGTGACAGCCTGCTGCTGATTTCGCAGGTGAGCTGGGCGGGTGTTAGGTTTGTAGGAGATAGGTTGGTGAATGGACGGCGGATGGGCAGGAATGAAAGAGGCGCGGGAAGTGCAATGATGGCTAGCGGGACTGCGCTTGTATGACTTCTGACATGTTTCTTGTCAATTTTGCATCATTACGTTAAACATAATAAGCAGAAGTACCTATTCTCGTTATGCTATGGCAAAAGTGAATACCTATTTGTGTTTTAAAAATCCGTTTGATATTCGGTTTTCAAATCATTACATCGTTGATTAACGTCGCTAATGAAGCAGCGCTCACTAATAACAATCCCGTTCGAACGGCCGACGAAGACGAGTGGATGGGTGAGAGCTGTTCAGAGACGCACGCTGATTTGGTCGAGACGTATTAGTCAGTGCTCTGGTATGTCTGATCGATGAGGCCGTGTTCAATTCTCTGCTTCGCAGTAGGAAGATGCATACGCGTCGATTTAATGCTGTACCGTTCAAATGAAACGTTCTGTCGTGTGATGGCAGTGAAGTAAAATGGTCTGCACAATAGCATGCCACCATCCATCCATTGATTGTTATGTAACTATCGTCCCTCTATTCACAGACGTCTAAGGACCGTCTGGATGGTGTGAAGGGCATCAAACTGCCCGACGTCGACCACTCAGAGAGTGACACGGATTCCCTCTCCACACCGACCGGGTCCCCCTACCGGCGACCGCTGCAAGCTGCGTCTCAGAAGCCGGCCGCCGGCGGCGCCAGTTTCGGCCTGCTCAGTCCGGATAATGCCTCGGAGGACCAGCTAAAGGTTTGTCTCGGTGATTGCCGCCGATTGTGGGGTGCGGGGATGTGTTTATGTGACTATCATGTTAGCGAGACCGTCCATGACGCAGGCTTAACGTGGTAGTGTTTGCGGCATGCAAATTGACAATCACATTGTGTGAGGTTACCTTGCTCCTATAAATATGCCCGTTTGATAGGTATTTGTGTTGTTTTTCATAATTCCTGTAGGTTTGTTTCATCACCCAAAATTAATGGAATTTTGACCATCTGTTCGCTGATCTTTGGAGCCAATCATCATGCAACGCCAGTGCTAGATTATCTGACGGCGGCGTTGCATATTGAACGTTATACTCGTGTTTCTACCTCCATTACATTTTCATATTCACATCAAGCTCTCCGGAGCCCATGTTACATAAGACCAGCTTCGTTGTGTCCCATTTACTGAAGTTTGAAGTTTGATATAATTGGCCCGGATGTTCGTTCTCTAGTTACAAACTTGGTTGGCGGATTCAGTTGAAGTTGTACCGGTGTGCCGCGCGCGGTACCGACTATAAATCTCTGTTGGTTGGCTGTCCCAGGAGGTCCTTCAGAGCACGGACGGCGCGACCGAGGCGGGACTGCAGACGGGGGCGATATACGCCGACCCAGACATCATCGACCTGACCATGATACCGCCGCCCATGACACCGGACGAGGTAACCGTGCTTCGCACAAGCATAGCTCGTTCTGTTCGGACATATAGTGACGCTCATTGAAGCAAAGTTATGGTTCGATTGTAGAAGCGCGCTACAATCGAACGATAGAAATGGCAATCGTAGAACTTTTAATCCTCAAATGTTTTGTCTATTAACTGATGATGCTTGCAATTAGATCTATCTCATATTGCACCCGTGTGCATGCTTTGTTGCCGTATGCCTCTCGCTCGCTCACCACCTCGTATAAAGTCACCGGGTCAAAAGCACCTGCGACTCGATAGGTATGAACCCATGTCAACCCTCCTTTTAACCGCCACAAACGACTGTGTCACTCCAGGACGGTCCACCGAGGATCCCGCCGGAGCTGTCTACTCCGCCGACTCCGTTCGCTGACCGGGAGACGCTGGAGGCCGAGCTTCAGGCGCTGGAGCGCGACCTCGGTGACCTGGACAGGGTCGGCGAGATGGTCAGAGGTCAGTCAGTGAACGAGTCAGGGGTGGAGACGGGAGGGAAATGGTGACGGGAGTGAATGAACGCTGGAATAGATTGCTGACCAAAGCTGGTCAGTTATCGGAAATGATGGATGATGAAGGGATGGTGTGACTGTGAATGACAGATGAACTAAGCTTCAACGAATGAACGTGTTGTGTGAATGATTCCATCAGTTAACTGCTTTTGTTATTTTTGAGTCACATAATCCGTATTATTAGTCTACTTTTAGGTTTTGGATTAATTTGACCTAAATTCGTCCTTAGCGTAAGCAATAGGTAAACATGTGCTTATAGCTTAACGTTTCATAAACGTTACGACCTGTTGACACTAACTATCTCTGACTGGCTCTGTACCCGAGTTCCTCTGCTCTGCCTCTGACCGCGCACCTGACTCAATGTCTCTGCCCTGCGCCCCCAGCGGCAGCTCTCCACTCTCCGGAGGACTCCCCGAGCAGCGGGTTCAGCTCGCAGCCGACCGGCTCCGACATCGACAGTCTGATCGCCAACCTGACGCTGCCGCCGCCGCCCTCCGACTCACAGCAGGTCAGTAACAGATGACCTGATCAGTAACAGAGCAGGCAGTAACAGATACAGGTCAGTACCTGATGATGACAGATCCTCATCAGGTAACGTACTCCAGTCAGGTAAGCCAAGGGTCCTTTATCCCCATCAGGTGAGTCACGGGTTCATGCACCCCGTCGGGAAGCCCACGGATCACAAGCATCTGACGCCCCAGACGAACTACCGATTTTACCATGAACAGTAAAACAGACGGCCATAGGCAGACAATGGGAAGGCTATATTAGCATACAATGCCTTGCCACAATGACTGCCCGCGTGAATGACTGCTCTTAGAATTTTCATTTGGTTTGCTCAGAATTGTGCATCACTTATCTATTTGCGCAGGGAACTTGCTTGATCGATGAGCAATTCCGAGCTTTTACAATTGATTCTACGATCGGCGATCGCTCTAGCAAAGAAAACCAACAAGATACTTTTACGCACATGATGCATGGATATTCCAAACTTCATTCCACTGCCGTATTTTTATTGCAGCAACCACGCTCGGTCCAACATAACTAGGTGTCGTATTGAATTACGGCTCGCCAGGAGCGTCAGCTTCTCATATTCAATGAACATCTTTCATTTCCGCTTCTGTGCCCCGCGGGAATTGACGATATTGCTCGGCGCAGTTTCTGCCTTCATTTATTTCGTTCTTTCATTGTCGTGCCGTCATATTTCTGATGAAGGGCGTGTGTCTTGTGGCCGGTCTCATGGGACCTTGTGATATCGAGAACAGTGTAAATGATCGAGTTCAGACATTCGAGACATTCTGGCTGGGCTGCGGTTCCCACTGGACCATCTTTTTGGCGACTGTGACAGCACAGGAAATATATCGTCATCTATATTACAGTGGTGGAAAGGTCGCAATTACATTGCACGTCTTAGGTCACATGGTGGGAAGATAGGAAACGATGGCAGTGCCCTGGACTCTAACTAAATCAGAAAGGATTGGGACAGAATGGACCAGGATGCTTACGCCTGATGATTTGGTAGTGACATAACATAAGGTACCGTCCCTTATTCATTGTATGTTTTGTAGATGTCTATAGCGTCTCTGTGAACCAATCGTATCGTGACCTGATCTGACCTGCCGTGACCTGCGTTTCAGGCGGCGCCACGGGTACGTCAGGACGGGTCACCGGTCGTGGAGCTGACCAGAGACCAGATCGCGTCGTTCATCATCCCGCCGCCGCCGGCGGGGGTCGCTGGGCAGACTTCACAGGTGAGAGATGGGGGAGAGAGAGAGAGAGAGAGAGAGAGAGAGAGAGAGAGAGAGGGGGAGAGAGAGAGAGCCGTCCAGGTGTGTGCCCCTGGCCATCGCCTGGTTTATGTATTTATTGACTTCACTGTTCAGTGTTCACTGTTGCACAACTTTATGCGCATTTGTGTCCTGTTTACCACTGCACGTAGCTGGCTTATAGGTATGATTGTCTTCGTTGCTCATGTGTTAAATATCAGTGCGCAGCACGCTTTTTGTTGAGCACATAGTGTTGGCCGTATACCTACTGTATCACCATTCACGTCTGCACCGCACCTACACCGATTCTGTTCGAGTATATGTGTTAGCTAATTATGGAAGTACCGCTGTGCACTGGTCGTTGCTGTCCTCTATGTTCGGGCTGCCCGCTCCTCCGGTCCCGCCCTGACCTGAGCTGACTCGCGGCCACTGCCAGTCGGAGGAGGGCCACTACGACGCTAACCCGGTGGCCGGCTCCGAGGAGCTGCGGGTGACCAACGGCCCGCCGCCGCCGCGGCGACCGCCGGTGGCCGGCCGGCCTCGGGTCGGTGCAAAGATCGCCTCCCTACAGCACCAGCTGAGAGCCGCGCAGGCCAACGGAACTAGTCAGGTAACGTGGAGAGGATAAAGGACTGATGGTAAAGATAAACAGGATACCACCTACAAAAAGTACAGAGATGCCTCCCAGGGCTGGTGTAATGCAATGGTGAGCACGGTGCCCTGACCATACGACATGAAACAAGTCAGTCAAGGACCTACCCCAGACGGAAAGTCGCGATTCATTATCGTTGTTCTGTGTATGTTTGGTCACTGCACCGCATGTCCAATGTACATATCACCTACACAAAATGTATTTGCACTAAATGTTCAGTTTGCAGCTTTTTCGATGTTTCTATGCTGCAGTCCGATTCTGTCAACCGTGGCGTTTTCAATAACCCGGTTTACATAGGGTTTGTTGCAAGCTTATATCTCCGTCCGTGATGTTGCAAAAGATGCCAATGGTGCTTAACAATTTACAAAATGATCCCCTCTAAATATTTGTAGACCACTGCATCGAAATTATCGCCAAATTAACGAGCTAGAGCCTCGTCAAATATGCTATGTAAACCGGGTTAATGCCGATCGCTTCACATACTGACTATTCTCGCCGTTTTTCGTTGCCAGGTGACCGAGGCGTTTGCCTCCGACCAGAATCTGGAGCGGGCGCTGGAGGAGAACGCCCGCGTGTTCCGCACCCTCGAGAGGCGGCGAGAGAAGCCGGGCGGGGCCGGCGGGCCGCCCCAGCCGCCGCCGCGGCCCGTGCTGCGACACGGGGCCGGCAGTCAGCTGCCGCCGCTGCCGCCCAAACCGCCCGTGGTCACCCGGTCAGGTCAACAGGTCAGTATCTAGTGCCCAGTCATCTGCCGCCCAAACCACCCGTGGTCACCCGGTCAGGTCAACAGGTCAGTATCTAGTGCCCAGTCATCTGCCGCCCAAACCACCCGTGGTCACCCGGTCAGGTCAACAGGTTAGTATCTAGTGCCCAGTCATCTGCCGCCCAAACCGCCCGTGGTCACCCGGTCAGGTCAACAGGTCAGTATATCTGCCGCCCAAACCGCCCGTGGTCACCCGGTCAGGTCAACAGGTCAGTACCTCTGTCGCCCCAATCGCTAACAGAGTACCTCTGTCGCCCCAATCGCTAGGTAACGCGGTCAGGTCACCACGTCAATTCCTTAGAGTCGATGTGTGGGCCTGACGAGTTGATTCAGTTTCTGTTGCTAAATACTTACATGTGCGATCAAAAGCAAAATTATTTGGTGTTCTTGTTGGAAACTGGTGCTCAGAGGCAGCCCTAATCGGTTTTTGGCAAGTGTGATGTTTAGACTGTTCGCTGCAGTGGATGATTGGTGACACTCAGGTGACAAACGTTACTCGTGTTTCAGGAGTCGACCGGGCCGACGGCGGCCGAGTTCCCTCCGGCGCTGCCGTCCCGCGTGCGGCGGCAGACCGGTCCCACCTCCCCGCAGCGGGTTGTCGGCCGGCCGGCCGCGCCGCCGCCGCCCCACAATTCCCCGGGCGGCCGAAAACCGCCGCCGCCGCCGCCGCCCGACCGGTCGCCGCGCCGGCTGCCGCTGCCGCCGCCGCCCCGGCCGGCCGCCGCCGAGCCGCCCCCGCCGCCGCCCGAGCCGCCGCTGGAGACGAGCTCGCCGCGCCTGCCGCCTCGCGGCCGGCCGGCGGACTCGAGCTTTGAGGAGGACTCGCTAGAGACCAGTGTCGAGGGTGACGAGGAGGACCGAACAGTGTTTTTTCAGGCGTGTGACCGGCTGGGCGTCATGTCCCACCGACTGGACGAGATCGCCAGCGCGTGCGCGCTGGCGCACCAGGCCGGAGGCCCTGAGGGCATGAACGAGGCCAAATTTCAGTTGGCGCGCGATGAACTCACTAATGAAGCGCGCCAGTTTGTCACGGCCAGCAAGCTGTTTGTGAAGGGTGCCACGGAGAGCGCCGACCGGCTGGTGGACTGTCTGCACGCCTGTATGGGTCTGATGGAGCGGGCCACGGCCGTCACTCAGCTGGCGGCCAGCCACACCACGGCGCCGCTCCAGACCCAGAACCTAGTGCTGAAGGTGCGGGCCGTCTGTGACGCCTACCTGCTGACCGTTCAGGCGGCGGCCGAGGCCGGTGGCCGGCCGCTGCACCACCCCAGCATGGCCGCTCTCATGAAACAGGCCACTCAGCTGGCGGCCGTTCTGACGGCGCTGATGCGCACGCTGCGGGTGTTTACTCCGTGAGCCGCCAGAGGCGCCACCGGCGCGCGGCCGCCGATCGATCGCATATCTCCGCTCTTATCATTGTTGTTACATATATATTCATGTATGTGCGTTGTTTTATGAATATAACTCGTCAGACTTTGGACAGTTTGTGAACGACAGCCGTGCAGACCGCCGAGTGATCAACGACTGTGACTTAGCAAAATGGCGATACCTATTATTGCTCGGTGTTCCTCTGTCTTGGCTGACCTATTAGACACATCCAACTATTTTGACGATGATTCGACGTTGTCTCACTATTCTTTGCGTAGTTCTGGCATAGAATAAGATAGAAGAGGGAGTAAGGTAAAAATTCACAAACTAAATATATAATACAGAATGTATTTGCAATAGGTAGGTGCCCATGATCGCACACACAAAATGCATCCAAATAAATAGCCACGAGTGATCCATCAAAAACGCGGGAAAAACCCATATAAAGGATAAACCGTTCATAAAAATGTGTCGAAAAGAAAAGATAGAAAACTAAACACCAAGCGAAAAAAGTAGAAAAAGCAGATCTAACAAACGAAAATCTGAACAATATTTCACACACTTGAATGTAAGAGTGAAAATGCCCTAGTTTAAATATTAAATAATTGTGATTCGTTTGCTGCGCGAATTCCCACATGAAATCATGTGCCTCACATTTAAAACCGCCCGGTAATCCAGATACAACTTCCCCATTGCCCATGTCAAGTTGGCGGTATGCACTCCAAATCGCATGCAGGGCTGTGTCTATGGGGTAAGACAGTGGGTTTTACTCTGTTCGGGCGATAAATCACAGATGGCTGACTAGCCCGGAATTACTCTGGAGCGTCACAATGGCAGACAGACTAGTAAGGTCACACACTGACTAACAATCGCCCAGGACAACAGTCCTGGGCAACCTCCCCGAGCCTCTTGACTTTTAACGCATCTATAGTCGCTCGCAGATTATCACTAAGAGAACTTTCAGCCAGTCTCCCGAGTCTTTTGACAGTTGACGGTTCTATAGTCTCTCGTAGACTAACACTGACTAAGACAACTCTTCAGCCATGAGTCTCCCAGAGTCTTTTGACTGTTGATGCTTCTATAGTCTCTCGCAGACTTACAATGACTAACACAACTCCCCAGCAACTCTCCAAAAGACTTTTGACTATTGAGTGTAAATGCCACTCAAGTTTCTCATGCCGACACTGACTAAGACAACTCCCATGCCGATCTCCCAGAGTCTTTTGGACTGCTGATGCCTTTTTCATCCCTCACAAACTTGCGTCACAACCCTTCCCTAAAGCCCCTCGCATAAGCCTCTGCATACTGGTACAGGGACCCGCAGTTGCTACTGTACACATATATTACCAATTTAGAATTGCGCTATTATTTGCTAAGTGCTGGCCATTGGAGAAAGGAAATGTAGCGCAAAGTATGGAGGAAGAACACATGTTTTCTCCTAGCACGTATGTTTTGTATAATTCCTCTTACCGCAACAGATATTCTTCCAAAACTACAATCGTGCTATTTTTCCGCGCCGGTTGCCTCCCCAGAGCCCGTCCTTGGTATCGCCTATAGCTTCCGTTCCCGCTACGTGAATGAAAGTCACGTGACTACTACAGGTTTGCGCTCAGTACTAACACACCTTGCCCGAGGGCCGGTCCGTAGCGGGGAGGGGTAGAACGCCTGAGCTCCAGCGCAGTGGAGGTGGTGGTGGCCCGTATCATAAAGAGGCAACCGTAAGCAGAACTACAATTGCCGCAGTATAAGATTATGATCAAGTTTTCTTTAAATGTATTGATTGACAAGAAAGTGCAATGTTTATCCGATATAACAAAACGGTGTCCAAGGCCTTGGAAGAACTACAAAACATATTCAGCAACGTATAAATTTCTGATACAGGCCATGACCTTTCACCTTGCCTCCGGGGAGGACCGCTCAGGAAGCCACATACCGAACGAATCGAGGCCTCGCAGCGCGGCGGCAGAGGAGGTGGATAAACCATCGCCAGATCTTTCGATTATTTATGTTTCCAGAAGAAGGAGGGGGGGGGGTGGAGGGGGGGGGCTATTTTCAACCCACTCACCAATCCTTTCCTTATTAACTTATAGCTTACCGAAAAATGCAACACAATGGTGGCCGTCACGAGATGTAGCGAAGAGTGCCTCAGCCACACCGGTTTTGAGTAAACTTTAAGCATTCGAATTCAGGCCAGTGATCCTGAAGCATTATTTTATTTTTGTCGTGCATAAGCTGGGATGACGTGGTCCAAGTTAATTGCGAAGAAACGGTTTTAGCTTCAGAGCATTTATGAGGCTAGTCGCGCCAAATACACCTTTTTGCACTCAAAATAGGCATCTTTTCATTCAATTTCGGCGAATTGCATTCAATTTTAGCGATCTCTCATTTGCTTCGAATAGAGAGATCGCTGAAATTGAATGCAATTCGCCGAAATTGAATGAAAAGATGCCTATTTTGAGTGCAAAAAGGTGTAGTATACGTTTGTTGTAAAATGTCAAATAGAGTGTTGACGTGCTATCCAGATGATGGAATTTATTTGACACAAGAAGTCAAAAAGTGGCATCGTTAGTCATCCTGCATACCTATAAATCGATTCGTCACCTTGGTTCGAGCTCAATAGTTGTTTTCGCGGATGATCGGTTTCGTTTTCTTTTATTTGGGGGGGGGGGGGACAGTTTATGAGCCAGTAACCACCCTCCCCAGCCTCCCAAACAAAAATTGTTGACAAATACTGTGATGGCCTAAAAAATGCCCTCAATTGTGTAACGTAGGGAAGAATGAGGTAAGTTGAGCCGCTTTTGTTTTTCGTAAGCTACAGGCTAACTTACTGATCATTTTTCTGCGTTTACGGGTTGGACGGACAGAGTGGTCATTGCGCATGTCATGGTGGCCAGAAATGTTTCATACCGCTTATTTTTGTACTGAAAGGCTACGTCAAAAATCATCTTGCACGTTGCTCATCTTACCCCATGGGCGGGGTAAGTTGAGACACGTCGTGGGGAAAGTTTAGCATGGATGGAAAAAGCGAATCTCTTCTTTTCCCGGGCGCGGCGAAGAGTGGGCTCTTTTATTTACTCCATGGCATACATACTTATGGCAATTTTTTTCCTCCATCAAAAAGTGACTGTTTTAAGCCTTCCAATAACTCGTCAAGTTTTCTATCACGGAAGAAATCATTTTATCCTTCAGATAATCTGCAAATCACTTACAACTTGTGTAATCAACAAAGGAAAACAATTTCCTACCATTTTTATTCAGCAGAAACAAGCGCAGCTCAGTTTGGTTTTCGACAGCGGAGACAACAATGGCTTATCCGGCTCACCTTCCCCCAGGTGAAAATGGCTCATCTTGCCCCACCCGTGGCCATTTTCGATTAATGACACCCGCTAAGGAAAATAACCATGCACCGCAGATAACAACCATCTCATTTTAAAGGCAAAACATGTCTTAGTTATCAGGGGCGATACCACATGTTACCGGGTGCTGAGCGTGAGAACGTTGCCGTCTCACGTGAAAGACTGCAGCATCGTAAGCGAACGGCACATGGAAGCTCAAGTCAATCAGCGCCATAGGAGCTGAGAAACATGGGGTGGCTAAACTTGCCCCTTGGCTCATCTATACCTCACTCTCCCCTATTTGGGGCTCGCAACCTTGATTCGTTAAAGCTATTTGTCTGTTCATTATAAAAGCTGTCAAATTTGCCGTATCATTAAACTTTTATTCAGTTTGTATTTCACACTTATCTAAAATGAACAATTTTGTCACTGGCTTCTTTTATGAATGGAATTGGATGGTCGCATGAATGAACGAATGAATAGCTTCATTTGAGCATCAGCTGAAATCAATCCTAAAATTTAATCTACCAGTCTGCAACGAAAAGGTTTAAAAACCAGTGCAAGTTAGGTGCAGTTTCTAATCTATGCCGTTTTTATTAAGTGTCTCATAGTTCCTTAATCTTGAGCCGCTTCTCTCACGATTCATTTTATGTGGTGCTTACATTGTTCAAGAAGTTATATTATTCGAGCTCGTTGGTCTTAAAAACTGCTATCGAAGTAAATTAAAGTGTTTCGGGCTTCGGCACTTAAAAAGCAATCGATATTTAACCCTCACCTATTTAGGCATTTCTTTTCAGCGTCTTACATGTAGCGGAGGGGCGTAGAAACCCTCAGCCATTCGGCCCTTGATAAAAAGAGCCAGAGCTTCGCTGAAAAATAAAAAAGAGCGTGCTGCTCGTGACGAGAGAAATCCGATGATTTGAGGGCCCTGGTCATCGCTGACGAGAAAAAGCCAATTATTTTTATGTCCTGGTCAATGCTGAGATCCTAGGTCACTGGTTGACCTCCCAGATCAGGTTAATAACCCAAAAGCACGGAAACTTGGGTCCTGCTAGAATTTCTACAAGTGAAGTTTGCTGGGACTTGGCTTGCTTCTGACTCCGAATTTGCACTTGCTTTGATCAAAAATGATGTATCAAAGCATTTGGGGTAGGACGGGTCACGCCAGATCACCCATTAGGCGTTCTGCCGGCTATATAGAATGTTAACCAGCACTTACAGCCTTGCAGCATATTGCATAGGCACTATAACTGATACCTAAGTATGCCTAGTTTTCAAATGCTAAAATGGGTGCTAAATTTCAAACCAACACTTCCTAAAAACCACAGTAAAAAGGTGTAAATTTAAGGAAGTTAACCGAGATCATTTCAAGTAAATGCCCTTAACCTGAGTTTCACGTGACCTTGGCACCCACAACAATTAATGAGACTAACATTAGATAGTATATTTCACATGTTGTCACGTTGCTAATCACGAAACGACTATGGAAACACACAGAAGATGTGCGCTGACTTTCAATTGTTATTCTGGCCTGACATGATCTTGAGAAAAATAATCACAGGTTAAAGGTAATTTGGTTCAGGGATTTAAAATTCTCAGACAAGATGCAAAAATGATAAGGGCTATTTAACCCTCGCCCGCACATGCCATTTTCCCATCCTAGAACGCACATGGGGGGGGGTGGTTGCCACCCCCCCGCGCCATTTCGTTCCTGTTGGAGATAGAGCTTAGCAGTAAAGACCAAAAAGATTCTTTGGGAAGAGACGAATCCAATGATACCCAGTTTTACCTTCTCAGGTCAGTCATTGACCTTCCAGGTCAGGTCAAACTAAAAAATGTTGCTGTTTTGGGTCACCGTTGGATATCAAGTGCGCTGCTTATCAAATACCGATGACGATGCTGTTTTCTGGTGCCAAGCCAGCTAGAACCTCTTTGTCACACTATCCGACCAGAATTTTGCTGCTGAGGTCATTTCAGGTCAAGTTAGGTCAAGGTCAGTTATATGTGTTTGTATGTCTGTGTGTGTCTGTGTGTATACTGATGTGTGCACCGATTGTTTTTGGGTCCATATCACATGAAATCATGATCTGAGAAGCTTTTACCAAAAATGCAGTCAAAAAACTTCACAAAAAGTAAATTCAGCTTGCCTAAAACGCAATTATCTTAGATGACCTAGGTTGACCTTGACCCTGACCTTGACCCCTGTACATCGTCGAACAACATGTTCCATGATAGGTGGGAGGTAAGACTGGCAAAAAAGGCCGAAATCAGGGTGTCAAAAGCTCACAAGGCCCATGGCAAACGCAAGATGTTGAGAATTGGCCATTTGGGTCATGACATGACCTGAAAAACAAGGTCATATCTCCGAAACCAAAAATCACAGAAACTTGAAATTTTCAGTGGACATCAAGAAAGGATAGACGAGCAGCTATACGAAAAATCAGCCTTCTAGCTCTAAAAATGTTGAGTGCAGAGCAGAAAGACTGCCTGGGGGGGGGGGGGGTGGCAACCACCCCCCCCCCCCATGTGCGGGCGAGGGTTAATTTTCCGGGAAGTTGTAAAATTGATTAACTCCAGGGCACCAAAGAATCGTCGCAATCCTTCGCTTTGCCGCGATTTATTGGTGTAAAACAGCGGGCGCGGTCTACTTACCTCTACTTCTATGTGTGGTGAGGGCTAATATTCATTTTATCTGTGTTGACGAATGTGCAACAATTTCTATATGAACTGAGACCAGTCCATATGATCATGTTTTTCTCACGGACAATGACAATATAAAAACAATACGAATAAAACCAAACGTTTCGGACAACAACGTCAGTGGAGAAAAATGAGTGTATAGGTTTAACATCGATGAGAACTAAATGCGGCACCGTCTCGGTCTGGCCAGCCGGGTTGCCGATAAAATACACAAATGTTTATAAGCTTCCATGATGTGTTTAAAAAACTGCTCAAAATATATCTTAAAAAAAGATAACTACTTCATCGATGTTATCGAAAGAAAACATGTATGCCTAATTACTTATTTCTTGCCACTGACGGAGGCACTTTTTTGTGCGAAACGTCTGGTTTTATTCGTATTGTTATTGTATTGTCATTCCCTGTGAGAAAAAAGGATAACTCTTCAGTTAGTAACCATAACAGCGAAACGGCTTATTGTAACACAATTCACTGTGTATACGAAACCTATAAGTCCCTAAAATAATTCTATTTACAATTTTTAAAAAGATACAGCTTATACAGCTTGGGCATACAATTTTTCTGCATTAAGATAATATTAATTTATCTCCACAGAATATGGTAAATTAGTGCTGCTGAAGTTCGCTTTCGAAGCGTCTCCTCCAGGCATTCCACAGCTCTCGTGCCATTTTGGATCACGGAACATGGCTGGGCGCAGGACAGGTCGTCTGCGAGCTTGGACGGACCACGTGACCACCTCCTCCACTCCCCCTCACTCCCGTCCCCTTCCCCAGCAGGGCGTCCGATCTAACCGCGCCCCAGGCAGTCGGCTCGGTCCGACCCTCCCCATGGTCGAGCCACGGCCCGGTGCCGCCTGAGTTTGTGCCGGGTGCAAAACTGGAGCAGTAACTAGCGCCGGAACTAGTAGTCAGCACGACCATCGTCAGATGGCAGGAGTAAATGGAATAAGCGGTTCCAGGTTTCAGAAGGAATGGGGCAGGAAAAAGCGCTGAAAACAATGTTTTGCTGATATAGCCATAAAAAGTTCACTGAATTAGGAGAGCAGCACATCAGTTTAAAGCCCTTCAGATGGTGGTTTTAATAAGCACACAATCATTTCCCAATTCGCCTCCAACGGTGTCACAGGCAAAGAATACGCTGAAATACTAGTGTGTACAGAAGCAACTGCGGGTCCCTGTACGCAGAACTATCATATACCCCTCGCAAACACAAAATGAAGAATGTGCGCGCCACGTTAGGCAGTGTCCCTGACTGAAGTGCTGGGGCTATACGGCCGCTTAGCTGCAGTGTTATGAGCCGCTGCTGGTCTGGGCCGTCAGAGCCGAGCGGTTGTCGTCCGACATGCCTCGTCCAGCAGGGCTGCCACCGCCTCCAGTCGCTCCCGCCGCCACTGCACCGTAGAAGAGCCGTTGCCCCCGTTTCCCCCGTTGCCTCCGTTACCTCCGTTTCCTCCGTTCCCTGACCTGAAACGGCGAGCAATCAGTGATTAACAGTGGAACAGTATAACGGCAAGAAACAAACAAAGCGACAAATTAATGCAAGAAGGACACAGCGGTCAACAGACACCAACAGCATCCCTAGATCACGTAGGCCGCCCCCGGCCAGATAGGCGCCGCCCCTCGATCAGGTAGATGCCGCTACAGTGCACATTGCACTTCACAACAGTGCCCGAGATCGATTCGCCAAAGAAAACGATCCACGAACAGACAGACGGTACTCATTTTTTTAGTTATCAGTGACATTTTTCATCATAGCTTTTAGCGTCGCTCAGAATATACTCATGTTACTCAACCATATTTATCTCCGAAATCTCGCAAAAGGCTATGTTGCATACACAAAGTACAAACCACGTCTGACGTCACTCTATAGCATTGACTTCCATCACAGATAACCACACATACACTTATAGTTCGGGACGCCAGATGACCAACAGATGTGCTGCAGCTTACCGATTTGCGCGTGTGCCGGCGCCCAGCCGAACCAGTGCCGAGCAGCAGTTGGAGATCACGTCTCGGCAGAGGCAGAGGTGGGCGGCCGGCCGGCGTTCGTCCACGTGCTGTTCTGCCCACAGCTGGACCTCCGCCGGGGACGCCGAAGACGGCAGGGAAGCCTGGGGGAGGATAAACGGCGCGTCATGAGACTACAGGGACGTAGCAAACGTAAGTTGCTCTGTCGGCCATCGCACAGCATGAGTCGTGACGTTGTAGTGAGTTGTGACTGTGCAGATGACACAGGGTATAAGAAAAACCATTAGCATGACGTCAGGTGATCGAGAATATCGCTTATCTGCTACTTAACTGCGGCACTGCTACTTAACGCGATAAGATAGGCAAGTACAGCGACGAAATGACATCTAATCAAACAAACAAATAATTGACTACCGTTATAGTGATGGCATTGCCTGCGTTGGCGATAAGTAGGACAATGGTAACAAACACTGACCAGGAGGGCGCCGATGGTCGCCCTGTAGGCCTCCAGGAATGGTCGGAGCAGCCGAGCCTGCACGTCCTGCCATCTAGCGTCTGTTGACGGAGACTCTGGTTCGGCGTCCCACCGCTCCAGCGTGGGGAATTCGACGGACATAAGCTCGAATAGGGTGCGGCGGGCCTCGGGCCGACCTGTCGGTGGAACAACAGAGTTACAAATTGTGACAGCCGAAATATACAGCGGGCCTAGGACAGACTTGTCGACGGAGCGAGCGTTACTAAGACCGAAACACATGACTCACACGCTGCGAAATTATGTTGTGTTGTGCCCCACGACTGCACTGGCCACTGACCACCCAAAAGGCCGCAAAAAAGGTACATACGTTGCAAAAAAAAGCAGCGTCCTGCTGGAGCAGCGCACTGCCGAGTGCTGAAACGCTGGACGTGGACATAAATCTAGCACAAAGAAACACCCAAAAACACTGGCCAAATGACGTGTCCTGATAGTCGTTGTAATGGCGGCTCCAAGTGAACGCTAGAAAAGATTTTGTATTCGCGTAACCGTAGACTTTTGTATACCGGTATACAGACCAGGTGTTATAGCGTAACAAATATGAATATCTCACCTGACTGGCGGGCGAGTCCCCGGAGCGCCTCCGCCGCTATATGCGGCAGCAGCGGGTTCACGTAGAACTGCAGCTGAATGCGCGACACCACGGCCGCCAGAGTCGACTCCTTCAGACGCGGTCCTGTAGTGGGCAGAGGGGAGCGATCAACATCGAGAGACTCGCACCTGTCACACTGGTCTCACCATCCCACGGCACACTCATGTTTACACCAGACCTATCATTTCTCAGTAGTTAGTATACTTTCCTTCCACCGGCGTCACCATCCCACTATTCCACACTCATACTAACACAAGTGCGAGCTTCCGGTCAATCTTACCCTCCCCCCCTCCCCATGTGCCGTCATTACTAACCGTCAGCTGGTCGTCGAGCCCTGGCGGCTGGTCGGGCCGGCGACTGGAGCTCCACCACCCGGCCGGCGCTCACTCTGAGCAGACTGTGGTGCACGTGAAACAGCCGCCTCGCAGCGTCCACCGTCACGTCTGAAAACACAGATGTGGCACAGATTGAGGTCTGAAGGTCGATATTTTAAGGCAATGGACAAATAAAATATATGTTACAGGGAGTATGCGATTTCAGTTAGTTTGCAACGACCCTAGGGTGGATGTAACCTCCATGAACGATCAGTTTGTTTGCAACGACCCTAGGGACGTTACAAAATAACTGCTCGTTCCGGGACGTTGTAACGAAACTAGGGTCGTTGCAACCTCCCTAGTTAGTATGCAACGAACCTAGGGTTGTTACAAAATAACTAGGGAGTTTAAGAATTCATCGAGTCTTGTTTCACAGGAGGGCCGTCAACAATCTTGACCAATGAAAATCTTGTTCAATCTACATAGTTCAGTATAAAAGAAAAGGAGAACAAAATTTGAACATTCAGCCAAGGAGTATATGTGGTGCCCGGGACAAAGCACGTAACTGTGATAATTTTGGCTGCATTATATCGCCAGCATATGCTTACATGTAGAAAATATAGTTACTGGGGTAGGTGTGATGGATATCCGTCGCTATCCGTTTGCGGGTTATCCCTCACACTTTTAGGGGTGCGGGTCGGATAAAACCCCTCGTTTTATTTCGCGATTATCTCGCGCTAAAAGCGGCCAATCGTGACGAAACTTTGAGTGTCCTCGAACTTATCTACGTTACTGGTTACACATTCCCTATACAGTTCATGATCCTGAAACCAATGGCATTTGATCTTTGATCTGATTTCTGAGACCATGGCAGACCGAAATTATTTGCCATATATGTTAGCGCACATAAAATTGCGTTTCCGGACTTCCAATTTCGCGACCTAGGGGTCTTTGACCTGACCTTGACCCGAGGTCAACACCTCAAGTTGACCTCACCCGAACAAAAAGTATACCATTCGATGTGCGTAAGCAAGGCGAGCACGTTGATGCTAAAATCGCGCTCAGCGACTGTTTTTTAAGAAGTTATTAATCAAAAACCGAACCCGTGTCTTGGGTCACTTGACCTGACGGTCACCGGTTGACCTGAGACCTTAAACTCGGGTACTAGTTGCTGTGTCTCCTAACGGCACACACGCTCGTTTTTTCCGCGACGCTCTAACTCCATCAGGGGTGAAAAACGACGAGAGGGTCGTACCAAACCTCCCCCCGGCCGGCGCGTATGTAGAAAACCAGGTCCTGCGGTGTTAACTCTCGCCCTTATTGGTGTTTTGCTAGCCGCAAACGCACAGGGCGGGGATAGGTTATGGGTTGACCTTCCAGGTCAGGTCAGTGACTCAAAAGTCGGGAAAATCGGGACCTGTTAAAACTTTGGAGAGTTAGGTTGTTACGAGTTTTTTTTTCGGGGCGCTGATCACGAATTTCATATTAGCTTTGATCACCGATGATGTCTTGATGTTTTTAGGCCAGGTCGGGTCAGGTCAGGTCAGGTCAACCAGTAGGTGTCTTGCTAGCTGTCCATAGTAGGTGTCAATCATCACTGGCAGCTTCGTGACATGGTACGAAGGCGCCAAAATTACTTCTTTAATGTTCAAATGGGTGCTAAATTCGAAATCAGCACCAAAAACTAGCCTAAAAATATATGAACCCAGAAAAAGTAAACTAAGGTCATCAAAGGTCAATGACATTGACCTGACCTTCACGTGACCTTGACACCCACCATAATGCATGGGACCACCATCATTTCACATGTTTGAACGTTTATAATCACAAAAAGACTGGAAACGAGCGGATAATGGCCGTTTTTACGAAGGGCTTCCTGGCGAATGTCCATCTAATTTGCACAAAACTGCACCAACTGTGCACCTAATCTGCACAAAATGTGCACTAGATGGCCGTCGTGAAATACTCCTAAGCTGAATGTTTAAATTTTGTTCTCTTTTTCTTTTAGACTGAACTATGTAGATTAGATTGAACAAGATTTTCATTGGTCAAGATTGTTGACGGCCCTCCTGTGAAACGAGACTCGATGAATTCTTAAACTCCCTAGTTATTTTGTAACAACCCTAGGTTCGTTGCATACTAACTAGGGAGGTTGCAACGACCCTAGTTTCGTTACAACGTCCCGGAACGAGCAGTTATTTTGTAACGTCCCTAGGGTCGTTGCAAACAAACTGATCGTTCAGGGAGGTTACAACCACCCTAGGGTCGTTGCAAACTAACTGAAATCGCATACTCCCTGTAACATATATACAGAACCAGGTAGGAGACGGGAAGTCACCTACAATCGACAGGTTGCCTAGCCCACCGCGTTTTTAACCACTGACCTTCCACGCTGAGCTGGGGCAGCGCCGCCGCCAGCTGCTTTCCCACGAACCCCGCCAGCTGTAGCAGCTCGGGCAGCTGCTGCCGGCCGCCGGCCAGCTGCAGGGCGGCCATGAGCAGGCAGCTGGCGGGCAGCCGCGCGCCGGCCAGCTGGTGCCGCAGCACCTCGGTGGCCAGCCGGCAGCTGCGGAGGTCCGGACCGCTGGCGGAGCGGAGGGAGTGCACGCCCAGCAGGCGGACGTGGACGGCGCCGTAGTTCTCGGCGAGCACGCTGACGGCGGCCACCAGGCGCTGGGGAGCGGAGACAGACGCAGAACAGCCGGCGTTAGATGGAGGCCAGCTACTGGGCTAAAATCATTAGCTTTGATCATACGCGATCGATTAGACGCCTTGCCTGTCCCGCGGCGTGACGACTTGTGAGGATGTTAGAATGCAAACAACCAGTAACTCAGATTTCCGGTAGCATTAGCTGAGGTTAGATCAATTCCGCTACCTCTTCATTTTGTCGACTTGTTAAACTGCCAACTATTTGAATAAAAATAGTTACAAACACGACCCAGCCCCAAGCAACGCGACATCACTTACCCCAGTAGATTCTGGTGGTTTGGGGATGCCCAACATCTCATAGGCATACAGGTTTTCTTCGAGAACACGCTCGTAACTGATGGATATTGGTACGATGTGTAAATCCGGTATTCGGCCAGTGTGGAACAGTTCCAGATAAGCCGACAACAGACCTGAAACACACCAACAGGCGTCGTAGGTCAGCAAAAAAGTGCACTGGAGTGTCTGATTGGAGCGTCATCAGCTAACAGGATGAATGAATCTCTGATGAGATTAGAGCTATCGATAATTCGGCCCCGCCGGGTTCACCTGCAGATCCCTCGGCCGAGGTATGACGTTAACGCCGCTTGCTACGACCCGGTATCGCGCCGCTGATAGCTGATCGTCCTGCGATAGCGCCCGATACTGTCTCAGCCGCGGTGGCGAACAGAGACGGCTGGGTATTAGCGGACCGCTGTCTGCGTGCCTGTGATCGCAGTGCTGTCTGCTCCCGTCTGACCATCCGGAGGGAGCTCCAGTCGCCGACATGGCGCCGCCACTCGCTCTAGGAGTGTTTCTCGTGGCGACTCTAGCCGCCCGAACCCCACCCGTCGCTGCCACCGGGGAGAATTTCAACTGTTCGGGCAACGTGTGTGACCCGGTGATCACCCCGTGCTGTGATGATCCTGACAACGGGTGTCCGGGTGACGAGTGCAGTGCCTCCCAGCTGCGCGTGGTTAGTCCGTACTCACAGTGTGGCTGCTGCCACAGCTGCATCGACTACCTGGTGAGTAGCGAGACCGAGCGATCCGACCGTCCAAACCAATAGATAGTAGTGGTAGATCGAGCATATCTGACAGTCGAAGCAATAACCATTCCGATGATAGCAGAAAGACTCAGCGTAGCTGACGGTCAATATCAACTGATCGAACTCGAAGTCCACTCAAGAGACAGATGACGCTGTCGTAATTCGTGCCTCCAAACATGCTATGTTGAAGTCAATATGTCTTTTATTATACATATTTCTAAGCTTCCGAACGTCACAAACATCTCGTACCACCGGCTATGGTATTACTGTTCGTGATCGCTCTCGCTAACGTTGGTCTCTATCCTATCTCAAGCGGTCAGTGTTTCACTAACTGTGGTTGCTCTCGCTGACAATGGTCTTCGCTCTCTCTCTCTCTCCCTCTCCCTCACCCAGGCGGCCGGAGACGCCTGCGCCACTAGTAACGTGTACCACATCGGTCAGCTGCCCTCGCAGATCTGCGGGCCCGGCCTGAGGTGCACCCGGAACGACACTGGTGCCTACTGCGCGGCCATAGCCGACACCGAGTGTGCCGCGGCGCGACAGGCGTTCGCCGAGGCCGAAAAGACCATCCTCAACCCGGGACAGCTGGACCCCGCGTGCGACTCAGAGGGGGCGTATCGGGCGGCGCAGGCGATGCCCGGTCTGACCACCAGCTGCTACAGTAAGACCGGCGAGCGGCTGTACGGCGAGAGTGGTACCACTCAGGCCGGCGATATGGGCTGTCTGTGCTCGCGACTCCACCAAGGCGAGCTGTCGGTGGAGGGCCTCCAGCCGCGACCGCACTGTCTCACTAACGGCAACTTCGACCCGCTGCAGTGCAGCAACAGGACGTGTTTCTGCGTGGACAAGACGAACGGAACAATTTTATCGGTGATCGCCGACCGGCACTTCCTGGTCAGTTAGCGGGCACGCAGACTTTCCTAAATGCCATCACTAGCAACCCCACTCCCCCTCCCCCTTTTGAAACACAATCCCGCCACCTCGGGGTAGTGTTGATCCAGTGAATTTGGACTCCCTACAATTGTCTGTCCTTCACTATATTAGTGGTCGTTGTGTTTAGCAGCAAATAAGGTTCGCTGGATTCTTTTCTGAATTTTGCAAGTTGGCCGATAAACTTTTTGACCGACGTCGAGCCATTAGTGTCGTAACTATGATACACTCTAGGTGGGCTGTCTGATAACATCAACCACCAAAGCCTCTGATAGCCATGTCCCTCCTACGCGTGCCCTGTCTTCCCAGGATCTGCTGCCGTGCTTTAACTCGAGTCTGCACCGGTCCGACTACCTCAAGCCCTGTGAGCTGGCGGCCGAGCGACTGGCCAACGAGACGGCCGAGTGGGCCGCGCAGGGGTTCACACCACTGGGCCTGGACCCGCCGCGCTGTGACATCGGAGGGTACTTCGACAAGGTCCAGGTTAGTAGAGACGGCAGATGTCAATTGGAGACGACAGCATGGCAGTGAAATTGATTGTATGCTGTGAGATCCAAGGAGATCGTATATTCTCAATCATCATCTTTGGTTTCCAGTCGGATTATGTAAAATAATAGATCCCACGTGGAATCACGAAGCCAAAACCCATATCCATGCAACTGGAAATGTCTGTTGAGTAGAGTTTGTTGAGTTGCAAGTGCAACGGGATTTTATTGAGTGAAAAGACGTCATTAAGTTCAAAATCCACTATACCTCCCATAGAGAAGCCTGCGGTACGATGCACCTTCCCCTGAGGCATCGGGGCTAACGCCGTCTCCCATTCCCCAGGAAACGCGTACGGAGCGGTACTGCGTGGCGCCGGACGGTACCGACCTGGGGTACCGGGTACCGCGGCGCAGTGACGCCGCCGACACCACGTGCAACTGCGCGCGCTCCTCGTACCACATGCAGATGGCCGGCCAGCGCACCGACCTGCCGCAGTGCTGTGAGAACGGCGCGTTCCGGGCCTACCAGTGCCGCGGCCTCTACTGCTACTGTGTGGATGAGCACGGTCAGCAGACGGACGATCCGGCGGGCGCCGTCACCCAGAACAGCATCAGTCAGCTGGGCTGCTTCAACGTCACCTGTCCGACCACCAGCGAGAACGCCAGGCCCGAGCAGGGGTACCTGCTGAGCTACTACTGATAAACTGACCCGTCTCTCCAGCCGGGAGAACGCCCGGCCCGGACAGGGGTATCTGCTGAGCTACTACTGATATACTGACCTGTCTCTCCAGCCGGGAGAACGCCCGGCCCGGACAGGGGTATCTGCAGCTCAGCTACTACTGATAAACTGACCTGTCTCTCTAGCCGGGAGAACGCCCGACCCGGACAGGGGTATCTGCAGCTGAGCTACTACTGATATACTGACCTGTCTCTCCAGCCGGTAGAACGCCCGGCTCGGACAGGGGTATCTGCAGCTGAGCTACTACTGAGTACTGATATAATGATCTTCAGATGTGTTCGTCTAACAGGGACACCGCGCACCTCACAAAAGAGTTCCTGTTGAGCTTCTGACATGTCGACAGTTCGGAAACGGTGCATGTAACCGGAAAGATAGCACCATTTGTTAGCCAGCAATGTGGAATCCAGTGTTATTTAATACTCTCCGACAAAATGCGTGACCATTGATATTCAATTTGATGAGCGAAAAGACTATGATCAAACCACCAGTCTTCCATTTCTAGGGGTATCTTATCAAATAAAGTCTAAAACCTCAAGAATGTGTTTGGATGAGAGCCCATGACAAAGTTGCAGCATCACTGAATTGATACGTCTGATCAGGGTCTCACTTGTGCAGAATGTAGGCACTGTTGTGTTGTTACGGAGCGAGCGAAGCGAGCGGAGTCTCATACTGAATTAAGGGAAAATCCTGAGTATGAGCGGCCGGCCGGCCGGCCGGCCGGCCGGCCGGCCGTGGGGACGCTCTTCAAAAGCTAATATCTTAGGACCGGGACATCCGATTGACAAGCGGTCTTCTTTACTGAATGTCACTTGGACGTAAAAGTTCTGTGGTGTGATGGCCACCATGCGTTCTTGCCAACCACCGCACGTGGCGCGTGGTAAAGTTGGACATTTTTTAAGAACCCCCAAAATTGCAACCTCAATAACGGCACAACGGTTGGGCCGATTGAATTGAAACTCGGTACACAGTTAGGTCTCCATCAGATAATTCATCTGCATGTGTTAAGGTTGGGGTGCTACAGCACGTGCGCACGTGCAGGGGGCGCTCCCAGATCTCGAGAACGGTTGGGCCGATTGCGCTCAAATTTGGTACACGGTTGGGGACCAGTTAGTAGGGTGCCGTGCAAATGTCAGTTTGGACCCCGCTTGCACGTGCGCACGTGCAGTGTGCCGCTTCCAGATCTCGAGAACGGCTAGGCCGATTGCGCTGAAATTTGGCACATCGCTTAAGACCGGTTAGTAGGGTGCAGTGCACAAGTTAGTTGGAGGTACCCCCTCGCAATTTCGCACGTGCAAGGCCCATCCTCTCGCTCGCTCCGTTGGTCGCCCAAAAGGCGTTTTACTGGTAGTAAACATTCTTATAACATAAACATTCCTATACAGCTTTCCACGATGATCGAGGCTAGCATTGCTCCCTGTCGGTTTAAGTTTGATTATCGAAAACAATGGTTTATTTTGTTTCTCGTAGTGTGATTGACCTGCGTTCTCTGGCGCAAGCGCAGCTGTCCATTGAGGATGGAATCAGCGTAGAAAGAGATACGATTGACTTGTGTGCAGCTGACCAGACGTTGAGGAGAGGGGGGGGGGGGGCACGACAGACCTGTGCGCGGTGGCAGGGGTTTTGTCACTGCGGCTGTGACATACGTAATCACTGACCTCTGTGATGTTTTAATTTACATTACGAGGTACGACTTACCTACGTGCAGCGGCAGGGTTTGCAGCTGGGTTTTAAAGTTAGCTTACGAGTTACAACTGACCTGTGCGCGGCGGCAGCGGTTTGCCGCTGCGGCTGCGTGTGCCCTCGATGAAGAACTCTGAGGGCTGCGGGCTGTTGAGTGCCAGTGCCTGGACGTAGGCACGCAGCACGGCCGCGTACAGACGGTCTCCGTTCAGCCGGCGGCGGATGAAGAAGGCGCCGCAGCTGCGCAGGATGTCGCCCACGCACAGCATCGACTTGAAGTCTGCGGGACAGTTAGTGATCAGGGAGTCAGGGAGGGCCAACAAGGAGAAACGGTCAACGGAAACAGCCGCTCGTGGGGTCAGTGTGTGGGCGAAATGCTGGTGGATGATCCAATATCGCAAACAACGCATAAAATGCAATAGAGAATAATTATTGAAAAAACAGCCCTTCAGAAATTTGATACAAACGGTTGAATGGGAAGTTTCCGGGGAGTAAAGCACAAAAAGAGCTTGTTGCGCAGCCACTTGCCAGTCCTGTTCAACGATAAGATTTTGGACTGAGAGCTCAACGTAGCGCGGAAATATGACAAAACGGTTCTGTCAAATAACTATTCGAACAGTCGGATTGACAGGGCACTGAACCATTGCAAATAAACAGGCTGCAATATAAGCATCGGTAACAAACGTGTCTGTTAGTAAACATAGCAAAGAGAAAAGCAGCATGAATGGATGATTCTTGGGGAGAGGAGCAGAGTGTGAGAAAAAGAAGAAGAAAGGAAATGCAAAGAAAATTATAGGACATGGATAAAAAAAAAGAGTGAAAGAAAAATGGAGAGTGAAAAAGCGAGAGGGGAGAGCAAGAGAAGGGCAGGCTGGGTGATAGGATGCGCTCCCCATTGGCTCCTGGTGAAGTTGTATACGTGCAATCGATGAGCGACCCAGCTCAGAACGGTAAGGTTTCCGGATTAGGAAACCCCTACGAAGAACTGACCGATACAGCTCGTGGTCAGCTGATTTTCTGCAGTCGAACTATTCTCACGAGTCGAGCTGGACGAGCATCTCTTGGTTTCCAGCTAGGTTTGCAAGCTATCAGTTTCTGAAGGCATCATCGAGTGTCAGGAGTGCATAAACTGGAGGGATACCGACAGGCCTCGTGAGTGTCGGGAGCGCTGTGATCGGCAGTTCCTGACAGCCCTCATGAAAGGTGGAGTGTTACAATCGATGGGCTTCTCGTGACAATTATTTGAGTGCCACGAGTGCTGTGATCGGCGGGTTTCTGGAGACACTCTGTGGACACCAGCTGGAGTGCTGTGACTGACAACACCACCGGCAGCGACATGGCCTCGCCTACCGAGCAGCTGTTGCCCGGCCAGGCTCTGCTGCGTCTGATCGGCACGGCCAAACTGCAGGACCGCGCCGAGCGGCGCCGCGCGGCCGCCGCCGCCGACCGCATCATCGAGCTCAGCGGCGACCGGCAGCGGGCGGCCGCCGACGTCACCGCCGCCCTGCTGGAGCGGCACGAGCAGGCGCGCTGCGCCAACGGCGGCGTGTGTCGGCTGGGCGGTTTCCATCAGCTGCTGGCCGTGGCCGCGCTGGTGGCGTTCCGCTGGCGGCTGGACGACACGCCGCTGGTCTGCCGACTGCTGACCGCTGTGGCCGGCTGTGAGAGCACTCTGGAGCGGCTGCTGGCCGGCGCCATATTCGGTCCCTGCGTCACCTACCTGGTGAGCGGCTCTAAGGCTGATCTCAGTGACCGCGCCGAGTGTCTGAGGTTCGCCGAGTACCTGCTGAGGCACGCGGTCGCCGCCGACCTCCGTATCACCGTCAACACGCTGCCGTGCGGCCGGCGCGGCTGGGACCGCTCCTACCGCGCCATCGACCTGCCGCTGCTCTCGTACGAGTCGCTGCCGCCGCTGCACGCGGCCGTGGCGCAGTGTCGGCCGGACGCCGTGCTGGCGCTGCTGCGGCTCGGCGCCCGGCTCTCCTTCCTGCCGCTCGGCGCCCCGCTGTGGAGCGACTCGCGCCACTCGCCGATGGAGCACCTCTGTCACCGATTGAACTCAGAGGTAGAGTCGCACGTGCTCACCGGTCGGCCGTACAGCTCTGAGGTGGTGCTGTGTCTGCGCCTCCTACTGCGCGCCGCGCCACCCACCGCGCTCCGGCTGATCAGCGGACTCGGAGAGGAGGGCACCGAGTGGCGCGGCGCTGCGCTGCACTACACAGTCGTGGCGCAGGAGGGCGGGCTGGCGCAGTACGCTGGCGTGCCGCCGCTGCGTCATATGACGCGCTGTGTGCTTCGTCGCCGGCTGGCGGAGCTGGGACGGCTGCCAGGCGGTCTGCGCCACCTGCCGCTGCCCCAGCCACTCAGAAACTACCTAGACCTGGCTGAGGACTGACCCAGTACAGCACGCCTGCCGCAGCCGGCAGACAGACCGAGTCGGTACATCGGCGCCGATGTGGTATCACCGAACTTGTGCGTGTTTATGGTGCTTGTTCAATGAAATGGTTATCTTGATTTATGCTGCATTTGCCAGCTGTTTCATGCCTATAATAAAGCTGAGTCCGTGTGGCCGAGTAGGTAAGGTTTCCGTTTATAAATTTGGTGGCAGCGAGTTTGAGACTGGAGAGGAGCACTCGCCAATTCTGGAGGCTACAAGGTGACGTGGCTATGACTGACGGCTATGACTCACTCCATCGGATATTACCAGCACACACTCATTTCGGCCGCTATACCTAACACTCACCCATTCCAAAGAGTATTACGGACACTCACCCATTCCGGCGGCTATGACGGGCAGCGGGAGCCCGTAGTGGAAGCAGATGTAGGAGACCAGCAGAAAGTCCACGTAACTCCGGTGGGTGGGCAGGTAGAGAGTGGGAATGCCGGCCGGCAGGGCGCGAACCTTGACAGAAAGGGATGCAGAGTAATTAGACATGCAGTCGGGACATGGCGCCTGTAGCTGAACGACACTACATATTTAGTTGGGAAACAGCACACATACACCAGTTTGGACACGGCGTCTGTGGCTCAGCGGCAGAGCTCGAAGCCAGTTGCGGTTACTTGGGACGTAGCTTCGGCGGCTGGTCATGAAAAAATGTTTTAGGGTGCAGAAAATACGTTGATGATCTGTGCCAAAGCATATGAGCGAGCACACTAGAAATACTAAAAGACACTAAAAGACACAAGCCGGAGAGGGGGTAATGATAGATCGAGCAGGGGAGGAAGACGTAAAACAATACGGGAGAAGCTAACGATTAACACCGGCCCCCGCTCTCAACCGGTGCGAATACACGCTCGCCTACCTGTTCGATGCCAGCCCGCTCCACACAAATTCTGTCGTAGAGCTGTTTGAATATCTTGGCCAGCGAGTAGCCGACTCGGCGCACCGACCCGACGCTGAAGTTGTGGTGCATCTCGGTGAATATGGCGTCGATCTGGTCCCGCGCTTGGCACTGCTCGGCCGCCGGCAGCTGACGGGGGTGGGGGTCGGCGGTCAGAACGGGTCAGCTGGTCAGACTAAGCTCAAAGTAAAGACATATTATATTGTGGAGTTCGAAATAAAGAAAATTTTCCCGACAGAGTTCGTTAGTTCAATGGAGCTTTCGATACGTATGTATTTATATATCTTCGTCAGCAGCGGTATCGTAAAACCTATTCGGCCTATCAACTCGTTCTCACTTTGAACGATGCGTGATATACTGTGACTACAATCGGCTCCTCGTTAAACGTCAGACCGGTGATAGTAAACACACCGCACCTGGACCTGGTACACGTCAGTCACAAGGAATCACAATCACTCGGCGGGCGTTTCCGGCTTCCGCTACACCAGCAATCCAACATTGTTTCAGTGAATGGACCCGGCGGATCACTAAGGGTGGGAGTTATGTTCCGAGTTATTCGTTCTTAACACCGGAAACAGGAAATGAGCCACCCTGACATGCGACTTATTCAGATCCACCTCTACGACCGAGTTGTCAGGGTAAGACAATTCAAGGGTTCATATGGTCAATGAATCATGAGGTCATTATGAGCCATGGGTGTTGGAGATCTGGGGATCGAAGTCATGCCTAAAATGGTTTGTGCTCCCAAGTCCCAACTCGATCATGAGGTGCTCCAGTCGGAACAGCCCGATGTCGAAAGGCGGAATAGGTAACTGTAAACAAGCAGTAAAGCGGAAACTGAGGGATGAAAAACAGGAAATGAGTGGGCAAGACATAGTATCCATAGTCCATAATATGGAAAACCATACCTGAGCGAGTGCTGTCACGACTCCGGCATCACTTTTGACGCAGTCTAAGAGCGACATTGGCAGTAGTTTTGGAGAGAAATCTCCGGCGTCCTGGTTCCAGGACTTGAGGACCCAGCAGAGGTCGCCTTTTGACCGGCGGCTGGCCAGAATGTCCTCCGTCATCTGTAAACGAAAAATGACACGGCTCGTTACAGGTTTCAGCTGTAATTCAATTACAGTAATCGGCAAACAGTTTGTTTCAGCTAACAACCACGCAGCTCAGAAAAAAATGGACGCAAAAAATATTAAAAACTAAAAAGTGATACAAAAATAACACACTTGTACGGTACGGCCGCTTGACGCTTCACATCATGAAGGCAATGTTTTATTGAAAAGGGTAAGATCAGAGTTGACCCCAGGTGACCTTGGATGACCTCGGAGGACCCTGACACATGGAAAGCCATGCAACGTGTATTCATAGGGACTTATCTCGACTCTAGAGGCCTGCAGTCCAAATTTCGTATCCTTGTCGATCACATCAAAATCACGATCGTGTCATAGGCCCCTGCCAGTGGTTTATCGTCAAATCCAATGTGATCATATCCGGGATACCTATGGTTTCTACGTGAGATCCAATGGGATCGTTCCTATCACGCAGTTTGCTTCAAGATCCACCGAGATCTCAATTATCACTCGGATCCACGCTCATCCTCATATTTGGTCATGACACAATTTCGTGTGATTGAACAGCCCATTAGAATAGAAAAGAAGGCTACTGATCGGTAATTCAGATGCGATTATGTAGTTTCATAACCGCAACTATATCTCGGGCGCTCGCCACTCGGCCCTGACAGCAATAAACAACGTCCGGCGACAGCCCAACCGGGGCGCCGTGCGGTCGTTGTTTTCACCACCAGGGTGCCAGCTTTCTGGCGCTTCTCAGCTCGGGTCGAATATACGTGGTCTGTGCGGTTCAGCAATGACAGGTCAAAACATGCCCGGAGGGGTCCATATATGGAAAAGTCGGCAGCATTACTGACATAAAAAAACGACACCGAACAGCGCCGGGGTCTGGGCGGCCTTTCTCCTTCAGTTGCCCGGTGTTCGCACCGTTTCCGCTACATAATTTGACCTACCCATCCGGTCAAATGCATCTACCTACGCACTGCATTCCAGACTCGATCGTAAACAATGTGATTGGAACATTATGAATGGGAATTGGCAGTCCGGAGACACGCATAAAATATCCACCACAGCAGCACCAATAACATGTAAGCTGGGCCACTGGACAGATTCACCAATTTCCAAAGTTCTCACCGAAAACGAGCCGCAACCTGTATCATGTATACATCGAGCAGCGGCCCGCTCGAATCCGAGCGGTATGTAACACCGGTGCGTCGTGCAGGGAACACTAACGGGCAAGTCATGCAGGAAGAGGGAGGGTTTCGGAAGGTGCGGGAACTGGGGACCTAACCGACCTAACCTTCCCCTACCTGGTTTTATTCGTTACCTACTCATGATGATGGCACGCTACAACATTTAAAATCACAACTATTTATCACAACCAAGAAGTTTCCAAAAGCCGGTAAACAAGAAAACTCATGAAAAGTCCAGAGAGGTCACTCGTCAGTCATCACTGGAGCCTTTTTGTCACGTTTTTATTCTGGCCATGAGCTGTCCGGTGGAAGAGGGTCGCGTTCCCCCACGGCGCCCCTGGCCACCCCTTCCCATACTGATGCGACACGACCAAGGCCACGATGCGGGCCGGCCGACCCCACCGCCGCGCCGCTGGCGGCTGTGACGTCACATCACGCCACCGTCAGGCGTCGCCGACCGCGGCGGCACTCGCCGGCGCCGGGTCCGTGCCCGTGGCGGTAGCCGGCAAGGCGGTAGCCGTACACTAATGTACCACATGACAGTTGGCACATCCTAAAATCTCCATAAGATGTAAACTTAGTGACAAGCATACCTCCTGAATGGAAAAATATGCCACTTTTCAATAGGTCACAAAAGAGATCAGGAAGATTATCAATGCAGCATCACATTTTTACATGCAGGTACACATGTAAATAGGTCATATTTATCTGTATGCAATATATACTGTGGAACAGGAGCTAATAAGTAATAAGGACACTATGCCAAATGAATATTGAAATTGAAAGGTTGGAGAGCAACAGGGCTACCTACATCAAACCATGCTTTGTCCACCATTCCTGGCTATGAAGTAGTAAATAGTGGCTTTAAAGTTGATACTCCTCAAAAGAAAGAGTATCAACTTTAATATAAGAGTATTTTAAAGAGTATTTAAAGAGTATCCCTGGATGGCCTGAATTGAGAGAGCATTCTATCATGAAAAGAGCAGTATATCATCTATCATGGAAAGAACATTCTAGCATTTTCAGTTTTCAGGTCAAATGAGGTTGAAATTGCAAGCATTTTGTAGAATAAAATAACGTTAGGTAGGACTAAACAAGAAGGAAGAGTCACGCTGACCAGCGACCACTGTTCATGAAAAATACAGTAGGCTAAGACTTGTCAAGTCTTCATCAAACATTTATGTGGACACGAGTCCTGATTGACTGCACTTACCAAGTCTACAGCATTAATGTTAGAGTTACAAAAAATCACCCGTTCCTGCGCCCTGTGGTTCCATACTGATACTGATGCATGAATGGTGTTATGGTGACTGGTTTGGGTTGTGGTCATGGTGTTTGTGTACCGATAATCAAAAAGGGAAAAATATGAAACATCCAGATTAAATAAATATAATATAACAAATATTGGCACAATGGGAACCCTCTTTGATTATTGAATCGTAGCGATTTTAGGCTGTGATTTTGATCCTGTACCAACCCAGTACCAACCCACCTTGCTTGATGGAGATGTTGACGAAACTGGCCACCTTCCTCTGCAGTAGACCCACAATTATTCCATTGGAGCCGTTTCAGCCGACACTCTCTCGAGTCGGTTATTTGCCGGTGTCTGAATCAGTCGGCCGCAATCTCACGTCCGGCGTCTGCTAGCACCGGCCTGCTGTGTTGATTTTTGTGATTAGGCACGTCCGGCCGCCTGCGCTAATTTCGTCAAAGCCGCACCACAAACCACACATGCTATTGCTGCCATCTATTTGGCACTCGATTTTTCCATGAAGGGATCCCTTCATTGGACGAAAGGATTGACTTGGCCATCACTGGCCTCTGGCAGGGACGTAAGAAGCGGTGCATTTTCTGGGCCACTGGCCGCAGCCAGGAAATGTAAGTATCTATCCCATTTGAAAAGGTACATGTACATTGTATGTAATTTAGTACTTCAATCCAAATGTGTCGGTTTTGCGAGGCTGACAGAACGTTAACACTCGTTGGCAGTTGGCAGGGTGATCCGGTCGCCCCCTGGGTACGCCACTGCGCCGCTGTCCTCGGTCGGCGGACCTGCGATGCGGGAGGGGCGGCCGACGGTGACCGTGGGCCGCGGATGGGGAGTGGCTCACCGCTGGCATCGCCCCTGGCTAACGGAGGGCGCCCGAGAGTCGATAGTCGGCGTGGAGTCGCGGTCGGCGAGTCAGTGCTCGTTGGTGTCGTGGGCGGCGAAGGTTACGTTCAACCGCGCTCAACCAGATATGGGAGGAAAGCTGAAGATCCACATCGTTTACTGGTGAGTTATATTTTGATTTTTAGACGGTGAAGGGGGAGTAGAGCGCCTAAGTGGCCTTAGCCGCCAATTGAGTAGGTACATGTGACCTTGACCTTGTGCATAAAGAGTCGAACGGGGAACATAACCCTTCGTTATTATGTTTCTGTTTTCACAATGCTGACTCCCGTACTATTTTGAAAGAAGTAATGCAGCCGCCAGCCGGCTTAGATGTTTGCCCCTGCGCTAGGTAGGAAAGCGAAAGCCGAACTGCTCAAGGTCTGCTGGGGTGTTGACCCAAGGTCAGGTCAAATGTCAGGTATGTCAAGGGCAGGTCAAAACCAGTCAGGTCAGAAAGCTGATCGAGGGAGGTCATGTTTGATAGCATACGATTAGGCTGCTCATTCAAGTTCACTGGTGCCTTTCTCGACTCGCTAGCTCAATTGGGGCGAGAGTTATTGATTTAACTCTGATGACCTCGATTTGTAAGGGCAAAATTGAGCGCGTCAGAGAGTGTGTGGAGCGGCGGGCCGGAGAACCAGAGTGCGCGTTAGGCCAGTCCGCCGTATGTTTGCCTCCGGCGGGAAAGGCGTGCCCGCCGGGTGAAAGGCAGCGGCTGGCCGGCACCTGGGACTCGCGGGCCCGTCTCTCGAGGCATTTGCCAGTGCGGTTTCGTCGGGGCAACATCTTTCGGTAAGCGATCTTTTCCATCCCCCCTAAATTAACGCCGCAGCGCCCAGGCGCTGCGGAAGTCCCCGACATATGTCCTGGATTTTATTTGGCTTTCCGACCCGCCGCAAATAGCGGTGGGCTCTCCCGTTCATATCCAGGGCCGTCCCGTCTAAATTATATTCATCGGCGCGGCGCGTAGGGTAAATGAGTGAGCGGTTGAAAGTGTGATGTGTGCTGTGTGCGTGAGCGATGGAAGTAGAGGAGTGATCATTTTATCCCGCAAATCTAAAATACATAGAGTTCGGAATGTGAGCGAAATCTTTCTTGGGAGTAAAAGGCAGATGCCGGGCTGATCCACGGTGAACGTGAACGAACAATCATACGGGCCGCTTAGTTTAATACACCCGGGTGGCAGGCGGGCATTGTAGAGTAGCTTTGATTAACGTAATGTCTATATGGGGGGAACCGTTTAAAGGTTTGCAGGTTCCGATGCATGAAACCCCTACATAAAAATGGTGCATCGGCCGGGAAATCTTTCCCATCGGAGGTCCGGACGCCCGAAGTGCACCTCCCGCCGCAATCTGTGATACTCGATGGTAATAATTCCGCTCCCGACATTGGTGTACATCGGCGCCCGGGTGGTAATTGCCGCCTCCGGGCTTCCATTGCCGGTGTTCAGCACAACGGAGGGCCTGGCTCCCCGGGGGAACCCGCCGCATCCCTCCTCCTTTGTCGTAGTGTAGGTCGATGGGAGGTCTGGACAATACCCGGTATTGCAGAGGCGCGGGGTCAAAGGGCAACGAGGTGGGCGGCTATTTCCGCTCCCTTGGAAAGCTTTATCGGTCGTGCTGTTCTTACTTTTGGCTTCAATATCTTGTGTAAATTATTGCTTCCGTACTTTTCGTCACGTTCACACGCGTGAATCAGTCCAATTAAAGGGGGGCATGGGGGGACAATTTGCCACCGCAATAATGAGAGATGAGAGATGAGGGCAGTCGGTTCGCGCGAGACCGTCGGAGATCGGGGATGAGATCGACGGCGTTCGGCGGTGCGGAAGAGTTCGCTCGGGCGGAATGGAGTCCGCATGTACGCGAGAAGAGTGCTCGCGTCGCCGTCGTCGGTCGCGCGCGAGCGTGCAGGTTCGCCCGGTCGGCGGAATCATAGAGTCCGGTGACGAGCCGTCACCGCTGGGAGTGATGGCGACGAGAAGGTCGTCACCGGTGAGTACCGAGGGCCGCGAAATACCCCGGTATTTCAGTGTTACATGTGTGGGCGCATGATTGGATCGTTTGGTGTACAGGTATGTTACGGTTGGTGTGATTGAGTTAGTGCGAACAAGGTCATGTGTGGTCACGAAAAGATGCGGAAAATTGAATTTTACTTATTTGTCATCAATTTGCTTTCATGATTAGTAATCAATTTGCTTTCATGATTAGTAATCAATTTGCTTCCATTCATACACCTGATTTAACTATGTAGCAAATTGCTTCATGTGTCGCCTGTCATTCACGCCTCATAATGAGACCATAGAGGCTTTAGACATTTCCTGCGATTGCTTGAACAATCGTTTAGACCACAGGGCATTATATCTATAGTCTTAAGTGCAGTGCATCTTTGCTGTGCATATTAATTGCATCTTAAGATATTAACTGGAATGTCCATGGTTTTACGGGATATATAGGCATAATCGGTGCAGTGGATCGGGGAAATTATGGTTGGGTGTTTTTAAGCGGAGTTTTTAAGCGGGGATGACGATCCCTCCCGTAAAGCCGTGCACTCAGTGCACCTTGTGGCGCTGACGAGTTGCCATTAGGACGGCATCGAGGTTGTGCGTGTTTAAAGCGGGCAAGCTTAGCTCGGCAGCAAAGCCCTGATTAATTATTACCCCACGTTACACCAACATGAGCCGCACATTCTGGCAGCTGCACCTTTTATATCCGGAACCCGATGTCAAGGTCTGGCGCAAGGCGGTGCACGCCGAGCACATTCTCCTCTTTTTTAATCCAGGGAATGGATTAACGCTTACGGTTCATTGCAATTTCTTCTGATGCAAACGTAAAATGTCTTGTCAAATCTTCAATGTTATGTTCAAAGTAGTTCATTAGTTCGTTCATTCCATGCATTTTTTGCGTTGTAATTTTGCTCAAAATGTGGTAGCGATACTCAACTAAGTTCAGTTTTTGCGTTGTAATTTTGCTCAAAATGTGGTAGCGATACTCAACTAAGTTCAGTCACGAACCAGAAACAAGTTCTAAACAGCTTTGATTCCAGGTTTAATGGCAACATTTATTAACCAGAAATTCTTCAAATGGAGCGCTGAGTGCTCAGTCAAATGTGCCCTTATTTAAATTCCATGCTGCATAAGTTCGTATCTTCGTTATATAGAATTACAGTTTATGATTAAATGCATTGAGTAATATCGATGAACCCAGCGCCCCTCAACCATTTCATGGTGACTCAGTAGGACGGTATCTCTTGGACCATTTTCGGCTTCGAATTGACAGATAATCCGGAATTAATCTTGTAGGATTTTCAATCCTCTCTAAAGTGTTGCCAGGCACTAATCGTCACCTTGCCGTCAAATGGAGCCTAAATCATTTCGTAAAGTAGGAAATTTAATTTGTTCTGTATAGAAGAGCAAAACATGTGTTTATTGGACTTTAAAATGCACACTCGAGGCAAATACATTTGAATCCACGTGGCGCGGATTCTATCCGTCGCGACCGCACACGTCATATTCGAGCCTCCAACCGAAGCTGACGCGGCGGGAGGTGACACAAAGCCCTAGTTGCTGAGCCGACTCCGTTCGTGACTGCGCTCCAGCAAATTCAGCAGCACGGGCCCATCCAGTGACTTTCCTGGACGGTTATGGGCTTGGCGCTGCCGTGCGCTGCCACACCAGTAACGGGTGATTTCATATGATGTATAATATAGCATGTGCCACATTGTCAGTTCTCGCGTGTTGTACAATGCATGTTGTTGTGCAGTACGGGTTAATTTACTGTGAAGCACGTGTTGTATTTCATATCATATCATATGTATTCCTGAGCGGTGTGTGAGTGCCCGGTTTAGGCTTCACTATCATTGGCCCGAGGGCAAATCGGATCCGCCAGATTGCCGATATCCACCTGCTCAAGCAGACGGGTTGGATCCGACCCCCGTGCTCCCACACCACGCGCACCTGTCAGCGCCCGGGCCGGCGCCGGACCGAGCAATTATGGTCAAGCCACCGCGCCGCCCGCGCAAGGGGGTGGCAGGTCCGCGGCAGGGCCCTCCCCGACCGTCCCAGAGAAGGGACGCATTCCCATCGTGATGGGATCGCGCCGCCGGCCATGGGATCGAGCCGGTCGCCACGGGTAGGCCACCCACCCGACCGAAGGCGAGAGCCGCCACATGCACGGCCGATCCCAAACGCCTCGGGGCGGGACAACCTGAACCCGCAGAACGCAGGGCAGCGGAGGGCCGCCAAGGAGCAGCGGCGAACCGGGCCGGTCCGCAATAACAACACCGGAGTCATTGGACTCGCCCGTCGCTGGCCGCCTGCTGCCGAGCACACCCCAGACGACGGTGGCTTTGTGTTGCCGATGTGATTCAAAACCAACGCGGTCATTTTGATGTCTGAACGCTCTTTTATTTTGACTAGTGCATCATCTTGCGTCTTTACTCCATAACATCTATAATTTTGGAAGATAGAGTTATCGTTCCGAAACGGACCAAATGAGACAATTAACCCCATAATCACTCAGTACGGCACCGAAACCTTCTGATTAATCGA